GAGTTTGAGCATGCTCATTAACTAATTGGATGAGGAATATTTTTCTATAAAATATATGATATAGTAGGGCTGAATTTGAGAGCACGACTAAGTTGCTAAAAGCATGGAACTACACATTGTTGCTACGCAATTTCTCACTGAATGTAAATTTTGAGTTAAATTAAACCAAAATCGCTATTTAATGATTTGGATTATCCTCTCAACATCCGCTATAAATCGATTAAAATTGTTTTAAAATCAAACTCATTTATTTTGAATTTTTAAGCGAACAAATTATTTCTTTGGGCAAAATTTTTGGTAGGGCTGAGACATCTAAATACGTCATAGTTATATCATACAATCATAATTTGCAGCAGGCATAAAGAGCATTTTTGTTTCAAAACGTTAAATGTTGATAAATTCACGCTTTCTGCCTGCAGTAATATGCCCGAATACGCCTAAGTTTTTCACCATAAAACAATTAAAAATTGTCTTAAATGAGTTTTAGTATATCGTACTAGTCTGGATTTTATAAAATGGACACTTCTGATAACGATTACTTTAGCTGAATCTATTTCCCCTCATTTCCAGTTAATAAGTTGGTAAATCCTATAAACGTATAACCACTTTCTGCTGACACACAAACTAAGGAGATGATTTTTACAAAGATTTCAGTTTATTTCAGATATTTTATTAGAGAACACGAAAACACCACCTAGCTTTTCCTTGTCACTCGCTTATGTAGAAAAATGCAAAAAACCGTGTTCAAAACGACCATTTATTACATAAACTGACAAAATCTTCTGATACAGAATAATAATTTTTGTAATTGCTCTTCACAATTGTAAAACGTCCTTAAACTAAGATGCCACAAATGCACAAAAATTAAGAATTGTAATCATTTTTATTTCACGTAAAATTTCACATTTGAGTAAGGGTTTTTGAAATTGTTGATGGGATTCAAACCCAGGCCACTTACATGACTGGTGCTTCAAACCAGTACCTTAGACCACTCGGCCACGTTACCCATTTGACAGGGAGCAATAAATTGTGAAAAAAAAACCAAAATTTGAAATAGCATTTTAAAGACAATCAATCAGTAACCAAAGTTTTTGAAATAATCTTTTTTAGTATATTGCTAGCGTCGCTTCTATCAAAATAGTGGTCTCTTATTGCCGTTTTTCTTTGTCCATTTCTTTTCGTTATAGACCAAGATCCAAAACGCGTAAATTGACGTTCTAATATAAACGCTCTTTGCAAACTAAGCATCGAAAAGAAAAAAGTCAAAAATTAATTAAGAATGTGAGTCAAAGCAAAAGAACTAGGAAAACAGTTTATTGATTCTGGCTATTTTATTCAAAAAGATTTTGCTTTTACAAACAAAAAATGGAAAAGGGAAAGCCAACCCGTACAAAACAGCAAGGACGACAAAGAAAACAAGCTTTGTTTCTCTTTCTACGTGCTTGCTTTATAAAGAAGTATTTCTTTGTGATATTTCTCAGTAAGGACTTCCTTCTCGGTTATTAAATGCTTACTAATAGAGTAATCCTTGTTTTTTAAATACTGCTTGCATTTATAAAGTTCATTAAAATATGCAAGATGCGCTTCTAAAATGAAATGTTTTTAAAACTGCAAAGAAATATTAAGTAACGAGTCACTTAGTTACGTTACATTTTAAACGTGCAATATGAATTTTTGCTTAGTTATAAGAAAAGATTTAACCCAATACTTGATTATTCGATGATGTTGGAACAAACGTCAAAAAAATTTGACAATCTATCATTTAAAACGACCATTAATAATACGTTTAGAAGTCATACGTACTTAGTAAAAATGGAAAAAAATTAACAGTCTGTTTTTACAAGAGATAGTTTTCCATGAAATTAACTTTTTCAAATTGAAGTCTGATCGTTTTGCAATACTTGTATCACAATACCAGTGATATTTACGTTTGTGCAAGGAGAGTTTCTTGTACGTAGTTTTGTCAGTCAAGACTATTCTCATTCTTGGATAGTCTTGTAAAGCTGATTAAAAAACTTCCATTTTGAAAGGATTGTGCGATTTACATGACTGGTGCCTTAAACCAGCGCCTTAGACCACTCAACCACATCACCTTACAAACATTGCTTAATCATTTAGGCAAAGTAAATGAAGTGTCGCCCAACGTGGGACTCGAACCCACGACCCTGAGATTAAGAGTCTCATGCTCTACCGACTGAGCTAGCCGGGCTTTGTGACATTGAACGATAATCAAGTAGTATATGTTTTGTACGTTGAGGCAATGCAAAATTGCTCTTTGTCTGTTTTTTGAAATCTCTAAATAGAAAATACCGAAGAAATTAACATTCTTCTTGCTTCTAATCTTCCTGCCAAAGTCGTTAATATATAGCTTTTTAGCTTGCATACGTAAACCATTGCTCATAATGAAATTCATTTATTCCGTGGAGTTTGATATGGGTACACAATCGACGTTTTGGTGTCAACACCATGTCTAAGCAATAATTTAAATCATCTTCACTTTCGCTACTTCTTCGCCCGTATATGATTCAACATAAGATCAAAAACTTGATTAAGTCTTCTCTGATGAAAATGTTAGTAATAAATAAAGAGCTTTTTACATGCTAACTTTAAGTATGCTTAAATAGAAAAGAAAAAATGTCAAATGTTAAAAAATGTTAAATGTTAAAAAATGTCAAATATGTTTGCGTTCTTGCCGCCATTTTAAGTTTTTGTGCCAGGACAACGTTTGCTGTAAACATGAAATGAAATTTTCTTTTAATTTAGACGTCAAACTTCAAACCGCTAGTCTATAACTACAGTTTGGGGTATGAGGTTTAAAAACAGAACTCCAGTCTGTAAATCCCTAATGTTATAGAGATGTCGTCTCTTGTCATTGAATTGGAGACACATTTTGAGCGGAACTAAATCATTAAATGTCTACTTGGAGATTAATGTGGCGAGTTCTTTTGTGATCTTTGTCAATGATTCGTTGACATCGTATGGTTCTGAGAATTGGCAGTACTACGTCATCTATAAAACCTCGACATCTTTCAAGTATAGCACCTCTGTTGTGAATTGCATGTGAGAAGAGTTCTGGGTCAACCAACAGAAGGTCTAAGGATGATCAAGGATAAAGAAAAAACACAACAAACGACAAAGTGCAGTTTACAAAATAAGCCGCTCCGACGGCCACGCTATCTCTTTGGCAGGAAAATAAGTAGAAGACTTAATAAACACGAACGAGCTACAAAGAAACAGGTCAAAACCAATCACATCAACGACTGACCAACCAAAATATTGACTGGGACTCGGCAAAATGTATTACTTACAGCACTGACTATAGACAGCGGCTTTAATTAGAAAGTTAGTATACCAACTTAGACCAAAATCCCCTGATCAGCTCACAACAATTACCGCCACCTTACAAATGACTCATTCACAATACAAAAAAAAGAAGCAACTAACACATTACTTTAGACTAATCAACGATAACAATTAACAATTGAAATCCACACACTCACACATTTCCTGTTTACACAATACGATGACGTAAGAGAGAGATAACAAATTTCACTAACCTGACGTTTATTCCTCACTTGATTCTGAAGAGGACTACTACTAAAGTTGTCGAAACGTCAGTCTACATCAATACCAACAGTCCTTCTCAGGACTCTTCTAACCTGGACGATCTACATCTACACTCATGCAAAATATATCATATTGTGATATAAATTTATAGTGAATACACTGAGAGATAACAAAAACCACTCTCATATGTTAATAAGAAACACTTATATGTGCCAAAGCACCTCAACTTTCTTCATATTATTTATGTTAAATTGCATTGTTGTTAAGTAGCGGCACTGCAGAAAAGTTTCAATATTATTTGGAATCAGGTATCAATTCATTTTTTTCCAAAATTTAGCATTCAGTCCCTCCCAGATTATAATAGTGTCATAAAAACACGTAAATATAATTTAACAACAAACGTCTGAAAGAAGAAGTGCTGGATAGTTTGCTTTCGATATGAACAGTAAAAAGCTAGGTGATGTTCAAAGTTATAAAGGATTGTTGTTATTGCAGTTGCTAAGACAAGTGAAAAACCCAAAGCATCTTGCTGGAATAATGACGACCATGAAATAGAGTGCACAATTCATTGCCCCTTCTGTATAATAATTATTCTTTGATAGTACTTTTTATTTGCATGCGTAAATAGACAAGAAATAATGAGTTTCTACACGACAAAAATGAAAAAATTTCAAGGAATTTCTATTTAATTTATGAAAGATAAACTACATCAAATAAATTGTAATTCAAAACATAAAAATCATTGATTTTCAGTAGAACACCTCTAAGCTCGTAGTGTCTTCGTGCTCAACACTCCATTGTCGTACACGCATGCGCAGATCATATAAAGGAACAACTGAGACTGTGGGTTGCTCATACCATAACATGGGTTATTCAAGCTTAATTTCTAATACTGACTTACTAAAGTGGTGCAAACACAGAATATTTATTGTATGGAATGCTCCCTCAAAAATTACATCGGCAATTATTCCAGCCGTTTAATGAGGATTTGTCACTTGTTTCCAACCTTTAAATTTACATGACGTCATTTTTGAACAATGAATTCTTGAATATTTTCGGTTGAGAAATGACTTCGTATTATCTAAAGGTTCGGAGGAAGTAACTAGTCTAACGACATGTTCCACTGATATTGTCAACCGTTGTGCGCAGCATAACCTGTGCCAGGCCAAAAACATTTAATGTTTCAGCACAAGAGACCCTTGTGTTTAATCTTTATTCTTTGCGATTCTGTGCGTGCAATTATAAAGATCTATGGTTATCTTCCTCTTTGAAAAAATCCAACTTATGATGTCAAAGATTTTTTTGAAACTATTGCTTTTTGACATGTACGATTCGCTAAAGAAAAAAGCAAAAAACACAAAGCTTATTAATCAATTTATCTGAAGAAGCTCATGGGTCAGACAAAATTTTTGTGTTTGAGTTGAGAGGCAAAGTAGATGTTTAATCTTTTATTTCAATTTTTTCAACATTCGTTTTTTCTTCTATCCCTATAATTTATGAAATAATTATGTCTACAGTAAACTTACACTGGCAAAGTAGAATTCTTACCTCTAATAATATGATTGACTAAATATTTTAAATAATGCCTGTCTGTTAAACAAGTAGATGTATTTACTTGAAATTTTTATGTCAACAACGTCCAATTTAATTTTTATTAATTTGCTTAACTTAAGAATCATACACTGTACTTATCATTTCGAATTCATGCGTTCACCAAACCATAATTGTGTTGTGGCACTTTCTGATGATGCACAACGATGTGTAGTGTTATAGCAATCATAATATCCAAAATTATCTTCTCCTCCACTACCATCACTATTGCTGCAGCCTGATGATTGGAAATTCTTCAGATTGCACTTACTATTATCATGGCTATTGTCTGTATGAAAAACTTGTTTATCATTTTGCCAGAAAGGAATCCTGCAATCGTTACATTCGTAGCCTTTAATATCGATAAAACTGACATTTAGGCAAACGGCATTGTCGTTATTCTGTTTCAAAATTGGTGCATTTTCATGGGTTGCAACAACCAAATCTGTTTTATTCCAGTCTTTATCACCGTATGAGCACGTGATACGCCATAACGTGTTTCCATCATCTTTTATACTCTTCATTGCGTACAATGGAAGTCTGTAATCTTCCCATGTTTCATTTGCTTCATTTCGAGAAAAGTTTTTATAATATGGTTGATATCTATATCGAGCCCGTAATTTGAAACTATATGACATAACCAACGTCCAAACATGCGCAGTGTCAAACTGACAGTAAACTTTGACCATTTTATTTTCATTTGTAATTATTTGATACCAGCCATTTGAACGACCATGAAAATTTTGACAAGACTTTGCCTTCTTTTCACAACGTTTACCTACAAATCCTTCTTTACATTTGCACAAGGCGCGTACTTCACTGGTTAAATATGTTAATTGTTGACATTTTCCGTTGTTACTGCAGTAATTTGATGTATAACAACAATCTATTTTCACCGAACAATTTTCTGTCGAGTAGTTTGAAGTATCCTACAAAAATAAGAAATCCTTGCATGTGATATTAATGCAAATATAGGTTACTCTTTTTAACCCTTACTTTAACGAAAATGATTTGTAAATGACTGAAATTTTATTACTTAGAGTAATGAAAAATGTAGCTTGATCAGTTAGATTAATATTTAATTTCAGGCCTATTTAAAACGTTAAACTTAACTTAAGCAGAACACACAAAAGATAAATGGAAAAGAGACAAAATACCTCACTATATTTTATTTTAAATGCGTATGGCCCATGTAAAGTTTGACGTTCAAAACAGGCCTTGGCTGCATTTGTGACTTATGCATAGTAATTTTGTCCTTGCTCATCGTGAATAAAAAGAAGCTGCAATATCTTTACCTTAACACTAAAGTATATATTAAGCATCACCCATTGCATATATTAAGCATCACACATTGCCATGAAAACATTGTTGAACATATTTTCTGATATAAAAAATCATTATTTCCTTTCCATTGAAAATCAAAAAGAAAGTAGAACTCCTTTCACTTTAGCAAACCCTAATAAATTTGTCAAAAGAAGAAAATAAATTTTGCTTATAAATAGGCTCAAATGATTTTTTAAGTCTATTTTAAAGAAATTGATTTGGCTTGTAGTCTTCACAGCCCTATAACAACAGATCGACATAAAAACAAGCTTCCACTTGATTATTTTAAATACTATCATCTAAAATTAAAATTCCCTTTAAAATTCACGTATCTTTCTTTGGCTCAAACATAAATTCATGAAACATATGACGGGTATAACCTTTTGAAACAAGATCTCATGTATATTTCGTACTAAATTATATGTTTTTATTTTGATTTATACTTTCACTGCTTAGCACAAATTATGATTGTTATTGTTAAAAATGTATTTCCAAAAATATTTTTAATAAGTTTTTAATGTGCTTTTTTATAATATATGAAGTTGGTTAGTATCTTGCGCGTAATATTCTTACTTTGGAAAAAAAAGGTTTTGTTTCTTATCCATTTTGAGTCACACGAAAACAAGCAACTGTAGCAAAGGGCCTTATAGTCATAGTTAACTACGTCTTCCACAAAAAATATAATTATCAAAGAATTGTACGTATACAAATGTCATATAAAATGTTTATTTTCCAAACAAAGACAACAAGGAATGTATTAAGTCTTTGGAGTTTTGGAGTGCGTGGCAGTTCTTTTTAACCTTTTCACTCATGCCTATTGACTGTGTGTTCACATTGCAAGAAAAGACATGGCTTTAAATGCATAAAACTTTTGACTGACATAGCCTGCCATTTAATCATTACTTTTGAAACGAAAATGAGGATTTGCAAACAAAGGAAACATTCATTTCCGGACCCATGCAATTTTGATAGTCTTTGAAATATTCATTTGTGTACTTTTTCTCCAAATTTCACTCGAAACCATTACATATACAAGCACACAAAAAATAAACCACTCCTCTAAATAATATTTAACATAATACAAAAATTTAAACCATTGAAATGTACATGAAAAGTTTTCCTTCAAATTCCTGTAATATCCAGTTTAGTGTTTGGATCTTTAAATATTTGGTTGGTATTGATATAGAAACCTGAAAATGGTTATTGCATTGGCCTCACAATAAAAGCGAGATTTTATGTATCATGAAATTCAGCTTTTTCAAACATGCTTGGTGTCATACTAAAGATGGAAGATCACTCAATAAGGCAAGAATTAAGTAATTTAATTTTTTTCTGATATCTTTCAATTTAAGGAGTGATTGGACTTCTGATTTGTGTGTCAGTGTTTACACATAAGCTATATAATTTTATGTACTGTTTCACAAATACTTAGTAACAGCAATAAGGCGAATGGGCTGAAACTTTTTATTAAAAGAATATAATTACCTTTTGAATTGACAGGCTCATCGTAAAATGTTGACATTCACGTTTCTCATCTTGGTTAATTATTTCAGCAGTTATTGTGGAGGAAAGAAGTTGGCACCCCATCTCACAAATTTGAAAGGATAAACATGAACAGTCTTCTAAACAATGCTTTAGACATTCGTTTACTTTTGAAGTAGTGATGTTTCTTAAAATGAGCTTTGATGGAAGAGACCCATGTCTAGCATTAAGTTTTACATTTCCTTCTGTAAAGATAGTATCAGGGAGACACAAAAAATTGATGAGGAGAATGAAACAAACCATTTGTTGTAGATTTCTTTCTAAAAGAACTAAAAATGCGTAAATGTTTTATTTCATACAATAGATATATTACTTCTATGTAAAAAAACGTTATAAAAACTTCTCTTCGCAGTATTTTTTATTTTTATCAGAAATGTTTAAAATCACATGTAATAATTCGGCTACTAGATGTGGACACTACGAATTAATTTATAAACTACTAGAGTAAAATGGGAGAAACACAGTCTAGAGTGTGATTGGAATAATCATATTCTCGCAACACCTGAGGCCATTTTGTTGTATTAGACATTTTCGTGTGCGGCATATGTCCACAACGATGTTTACATTGTTAAACAATCTTTTCTCTGCTCATCAGCTTCTATCTTAAAAAAGACGTATGTTTCCAATAATTGAAATTTTTATTTGTTTTTTAACGTTTTCAATCTTTTGTTACTTACAAATCCAATCAAATTACAAAATAGTCCTAGATATTTGAACCCGTACAAATCTACGGCACGAGGCATCTTAAGATTTATTAAGAAACTCAACACCTGGAGCCAGAGGACCATTTAATCACATGAGGGACGAAGGCTTGTAGATTATTCTGTGATTCAGGTTTTTCAAATAAAAATTTGAATAAAAAGTGCATTCTTCCATGGAGAAAGGGTCAAAGGGATAACACATTACACAAGCTACAAAGAAAGCTACAGATGGCCGTTGAAAAGCCCATTTAGAGATAGGTATTTTAGGTATTTTAATCTACTTTAAATAATCGCTGCTTAAATTCTCAATACACAACACATGTCCTGTTTTTTTACCAGTTTTTTGCAATTTTATCGATGGCAATCAATGTAGTCCTTGGCCTCAGATTCAAAATGTTGCCCTAAAAACATTGACTTTGGTAAAACTTGCCTTATGCTTTAAACACGATAACCTCCCCAAACCCAGGTACAACTCCAAGTCTAACATCAATATCTCTAGATAAACTTAACATAGCAACAGATAATAAGGTGGAAGCTGCCAAAGCTAAGACTAACTTGATGATATCAAGAAAAAACTGGAGTAAGTACTCAAGTATGTATAAATATGTTTGTCATTCATGTCCACTTGTCAATAGATATCAGGTCCTATATGTTTGCATAAAAAACATTTTGAACTTTTTCTTCTGATTTGAAGATTCTTATATTGAAAATGATGTTATGAATATAGAATACTTACTTTCATTCATTTGCAAATGATTTACACAGTACCTTGGTGGTTTCAACAGTCAGCATCATAAAAATTATATTAAAAATGTGCTCAAAACAGTAAATATTGATGTCAATCTGTGTTTTTTGTAACTCAATGTTTACTCCAGCTGTTTTAAAATTATGTGCCTATTTAATAACATGAATTTTATTAATAGGGTATGCGAAACTCCTTTTACTGAGAACTGAGAAAGATGCAAAGGGAATAAATCTTGTCCAAATCACATGTTTTTCATGTGCATATATACCGTGTTAGGATTAATATATTTTGGAATTCTCTGATGATGGCTTTGAAATAAAGTGGAAACACGGTCCATCCAGTAAACTGTTATAGGGGCGAGAATCTCTCGTCCATACACAGTTTAAAAGAGATTTGACTCGTCTCCAACCCTGTGGTCTTGTTAGCTTAACAAGTAGAGCGGTCCACTAGAACCCAGAAGGCGCGAGTTCAAATCTCGTTCAAGTCACAGTTTGTCAAGTGCATAAATCCGTGTTAGGACTAATATATGGATATTCTCTGATGATGGCATTGGAATAAATTATTCATTGTTGAAGATACAAAAAACTGAACTTAGTGAACTTTAATTATGAATCATGAAAGCGATTCAAGCTATCAAAATTCAAAATTGTTTTCCTTTCCTTTAAAAATATATCTTATATGCCACACACCAAAAATTATAAATGCTACATCTTATTTAAAAAAAATCTTTTTAGAAATTTTGACTTTACATCTTTGATATAACCTGTCTTAGTTAACTTTAATCGCGATTTTGATTAAATCTTTTTTTGAAATACAATACAAAGACGCTAGAAGCAGTTTTTGTAAGTGTAGTTTTGGTTATATAACTGTATGGCTTATTGTGCATATTTTTCCTTGTATTTGTGTATATACTTATTCGTACAGTTGTATTATTTACTGTTTTGTAGATATTGGCATTTATTGTATGAACATATTGCTCTTTAACACGTAAATGGCTTGGGGGCTAAATTATCACAAAGACTACAAGTATATATAGAGTTTCACTCATTAACAATTTGTTATATGAAATGTATTTTCTTGTGAAATGAATTCATAAATGAAATTTGTTCATATGTGAAATATGTGAAACAAATAATATATGAAGTAATTTTACATATGAACTCATTTGATATGTAAACAATTCACATATGAATTCATTTCATATATGAAGGTTTTTAATTTCACATATTAACTAATTTCACATGTGAAATATATCATATATGAAATGATTTCATACATGGAGTGTTTTAATTTCACATAAGTTTTCACGTAGCATTTCATATATGAAATTTTATTGTGAAATTTCATGTGAAGATTGGTAATCCATGCATTTATGTTGAAAAAGTAAACGTTTCTAGCGATTTCATAAACAATCTATTAAGTTTCGACTTGGTGCTTTGAGAGTTCTTCAGACATATATAGTACATTTAAAAAACTTTCAAAAACTACAGTTTCATCCCGACAAACCTGTTTCGTAATTACTCACTCTTTAGATGATTTAATGATGAATAGTTACTAAAAGTTTTTAAATATTTATACAAGACGACGGAAGTTAGCATGTTAATTAAAGCGTATAATTACAAATGACATAGGAGTGTTATGAACCCACGTCGATAAGAGGAAACAAGTTCATTGCGAATATTGAGAGATGGTTTTGATGGTTGGCAGAGGATGGAGAAAGTAAAATAAAAAATCGAAAAGAAGGAAGACGATGTGTTCATTTTTTCTTGATTAAATTACCAAAACAATGTGTTAGAAAACCGCACAGGCTGAATTTCGTTGGTGGAATTGCAAAGTTTAAACCATTTGATCGAATTCTTTTTTATTTTCTTGCTATTAGTCTGTTTGAAAAGTTATATACTTATTGCGTTGGGGTCTAGCAATGATGGGGTACAAGTGTTAGTGCAGACATGAAAGAGTTTTCTCGCATGAATGCGTTGGTATTGTTTCAATTTTTTCGTTTTTTGCTTATATTTGTTCGTGTTCTTGTTGACGGTCTTTGTTGGTGGACGAAGTCCGATTAAGCTACAAGTGTGTGCAGATGTAATTTTAGTTGAGAAAACATGCACTTTCTCTTGTGTAAAGATGAAACGTTACTGTCTATAAACTATAATTTCTTGTAATTAGAATTTCATGTTGGGCAACTGTTTTCTAATACAAAACCGTTTCCCGCATGCACGTCTTTCGCTATTAAAGGTCGTATGATGAGCATGCGTTCCACTATTTAAAAAAGCTTCGGAAATTCTCCAAATCTTAGAAAACATGGGAAGTTCTATTCATAAAAACAATAGAAAATTCAAAACGATGATTTTTTCATATCAGCCATCAAAATTTGCCCTCTTAAGAGAGCTGCTTCTATGTGTTTTACAATGCGCATGGTGTAATGCACGTGCACAGTTTTATGTTCTTTAATTTTTTAAAAAATTTGTATGTGCAGTTAGTCTAATTAAAGTGCATAGTTTTTATTCGTCTTTTTCTCTTGTGAGTCTCCGTTTATGAATACCTGAATCATTTGTTTATTATGATGCCTTTAAATTAATAAATCATATAAGGTTTTGCTTCATTTCATCCATTAAGTCTCATAAGTGTTGTTATTCATAGTCTTGTCAGCAAAAAATATACAATTTTGAGAAAATATTTTATTTTGTATTTGCATATAGTTAAAAAGTCCTTTAATTGAAAGTCCAGTTTGTAGTCTATTAAAATAGGACACATTCGAAAAAGAAAACTAACACCAGAAGAAGAGATAAAAAGTTTAAGGACAGGCTCTTTGATAGGTCTTGCAAAAAATATGAAAAAAAGGTACAATTTAAAAAAGTTTTTGACTTGAAATTATAAAAATAATCAAAATAAAAAAGCAGTAAAATTCCAAGCTGGATGTGAGATATAAGGGCGTTGAAACAATACAGAATAACCAAAAGTGTATTCTTCCCAGTACTTTTAATGTAAAACGCATGAAAAGCAAAATAAAAATTGGGCAGCTCTAAAAAGTTTTGAGAAAAGTAGTAAGACTATGCAAAGGTTATATGCAATAAAAAAAAATCGAATTTAGTTCGCTTCTAGACGGTAAAACAATCTCCAATTAAAATTAGCAAAATATGAGGTTTTTAAAAGTCTGTCATTCCGACAAAATCATTTAAAATTTCAAAGAATTCTTACTTTGAAAAATGTTTTTAAAAGTTTGCGTTAATGAAGGACGACGAAAATACATTTGAAAGCCGCAAAATGTTACAAATAACGCGATTACGTTCTTTCGAAAAAATCAAAACTGGCCTTTGTTATAAGATCTCATTTTAAATATGAAATACATTTTTAACAACGTTGTTGGTTAAAAATTTTTAAAGAAGAATCAAGACTAAAATATCGCAACTATCTTTAATATAAATTAAAATAAAAATATTTATGTATTAATGTATTTTGACATAGCCCGAGTGCGGCACTTCACCACCCTTGCGAGAAAAACATGTGTTGAATTACTTTGGTGAGGTTTGCTAACTAAAAAAGGTTTAGGTGCAAGCGACTTGTTTGACATTAACTCTTTACTTGGCAGTGTAGCAGATATGCGTGTCACAGAGCAAAATGGATAAAACCACCTGCTTTTTACATTAAAAAGCATCATAAGTAAGACAACCCACTTCATTATTATTTTATCAATAAGAACAGTTATAGCAAGTAAGCATGAGAAATTTTGTTTTTATGTCAAAATAATATTAATCACTTAGGAAAAGATTTTTGACGATCTTGCCAACCGATCGATTTTGGGGAGGTTTTTCTAACTGTTTAGTAGTTACTTTTTATACACACAGTGTTTAGTATTTTTTTTTATACAACCTATTTGTAAAAATTTTAAACTAAAGACTCCTCAATAAGTTATAGCTTTAACAAACGAGAGAAATTTTAACTTACACCACGCCGGTATTGAAAATTATATTGTTAAAAATAAAACAACAAGTAAAAATACAGCTAATAATGTAATACGACGAACAAGATTAATGCATTTGCGTGTGGTTTGATAGTCGTTTATGAGAAAATTTCTGAAAAATATTTTATCTAAATCAGTGAACTTTATACACAATAGCACAATTTTGTGCGACGAAAAAAATGTTTGTGTAAATGATATTACCTTTGTACATTTCAAGCATATATGCAATGTCTTCTTGATAAGTGGTCTCTGTCGTCTCTTTCTTTCCAATTGATTGATGCAAATTCTGCCGTTTTACTAAGTAGTGCCCTTATATAAACACAGTTTTTGTTCCACCTGTAAATTGAAAATGTTTTGAATAATTCATTCACCCTTTGTTGAAAAAATACGTAATCAATAGCGAAAATAAAAAAGTTGAACATTCGTGTTTGATAGTGGCTAATTTTTATTTTGTTAATACGACATTACATATTTTAGAAGTTTTCTAGATGGCGATGGTTGTGCTTTACAAAAGGATGTTATGCAAATGTCTTTATATGAAAGCTTGCGTCAGAGAATATAGATGTTTACAAATAGAGTGATGTTCATCTATTTGAAACGTATTGCTCTTACGCAGGTTGCTTATATGAAATACTATTGTTGAAATTTTATACGCTGTACTGGTAGATTGTTCAACGATATCTTTGTATGAGCTATTAAACATTGTGTTATCTTACGGTGGCTTGAAAGAGTCATTCGTCTCTTTCTCATTTTCTTGCTTCGCTTCCTGTTAACCGCCGTTGAACAGCTTTGCTTTTTGTTATTCCACCAGTTACCACACCACCTGTGCATCCACTCATCCCGACCCCTATGACGCCACTGATATGCCGACACATATGACGCATTTATTAGTACTATTGAATCACACATAATTGCAGGTTCATGTATTTATGTACAGTGGCGTAGCTAGCGGTCTGGCTGGTCGGGCCCAGCCCGACCAAATATTTTCTCAAAAATGAAAACTTTGTTTTCTTTAAAATTGGATTTGCGAAAATTTTAAATTCTGCGATTCTTTGGGGAATAGTCCACAGTCTATTAGTGTAATATTTGTCAAATTGCGTCGTTATTAGCAAAATTATCATATTTTTAAACGTTACTTAGCAACAATGACTAGTGCATTCTAGTGCCAGGCATTACGCAGTTTAGTCGGGCTCTGAAAATTCAGCCCGACCAAGTAGTAAAATCTATAGTGGGATTATCTGCAATCTGATTGGTTGACAGCAACCGAGCAAACTCAAATGCGCTGTTTCGCAACATCTAGTCGGGCTGTGAAAATTCAGCCCGACCAAGTAGTAAAATCTATAGTGGGAATATCTGTAATATGATTGGTTGAGAGTAGCTGTGAACACACTCAAACGTTTAACAACATCTAGTCGGGCTCATTTTCAAAAGCGTGACTTGAATTTTGAGCTTTCGAAATATACGTTCGGAAATCGTGATAACTTACATTACAATGTCTTCGGCTAATGAAATCGAGATAATAAGTGACCTACAAAAGAAACCATTTTCTGTTCGACAATCAGGCGAGCAAATTATACTCGTAAAGCAGCGGCCAATTCCAAATTTACAAGCGACTACAGGCAATAGAAGCTTTCAGGAAAGTTGGTACTCCAAGAAATTTTGGCTTTGTGGTAGCTCAGAAAAGAATGCATTGCTCTGTTGGCCTTGTCTTTTGTTTTGCCCTGGATCGTCATCTTCATGGACGCAGACGGGATTCAAAAACATGAAGAATTTCCTATCCGATTGTAAGAAGCATGAGAAGGCAAAATCGCACATGGGTGATTACAAGACCTGGAAGACCTACGGTTTTCAGCCATGCTTACAACCATAGTGGGGCCTCGTGAGCCCAACCAAATGTTTTTCGCTAGCTACGCCACTGTTTATGTGTATTATTGTGCCTTGGATTTAACCCTGGTACTTGCTGTAGAGCCAACTTAATTATGACAGCTTTATTCTGAACCATGGAAATGAGCTCAGCTGAAACGAACTTATTGAAATTTATTTTTTTATTTATCGGTCCAAAGCGATATTCTTAATTTCCTGCAATTTCATTGCCAGCTTGTGCAGTCAGCTTTGAACGATACATCTATTGGGATCTATCAATCCCAAAATAATAGTTTTTGCAATGTTTTTGTTTGCAAAGTAAAATATAAGTTTTAAAAATTGATTTAAATTGTTTAAGGATCAAGCAAAGTGTATTTTGATGAAAGTTATCATAGCAAGAGAGAATTTCACTTTCCACACGAAGCAAAGTTTGTAGAAAACCATCCAATTTTTGCCTCAACATCAAGTTGCATCGGGCCATAGGCCATTTTGCAACGCAGATTTCTTCATAATATAAATAAAAAATTAAATTCGTTATTTACCGTTTAGGCTGGTCTATACTTGAAAAATCATTCGGTCTCAAAAGCGTCCCTGCATGGGTCTTTCGCTTTGCGCCGCTTTTCAAACCTAGTGATTTTTTTTTTCCGTAAGGACATATACGCCGGTAAATAACATATATTTATATATATATTTAATGTATAAAAATAAAAGATTTTCAGATTATATAAAATGATTTTTATTTAGTTTTCGACTCGTTGCTTCGAGCCTTCATCAGACATATCGACATACCCATCATATACTCACAACTAAAGAAAAAGGACAAAAAAACTGCAAACAACACCAAAACTAAAACATTACACTCTAATAATATTAACACCGATCATATTAACAATACACCAAAACTCATGGCAACGCATTTCACCCCATCCAATCACATTAATCCACCAGCTAATCTAATTAGACGCTATTAGCGTCTACAAGCTAAAAGCACGTGTAAGTAGTAATTTACTCAGTAGGCTCGAAGCAACGAGTCGAAAGCTCAATAAAATAACTTTTAAACAATCCGGTGAAACTTTCATTTTTTTGTATACATATACATAAAAAATGAAAGAAAGTCTCATATGGAGACGTTCACCGTGTTTGCGATATGCAAAGCTCACCTTTTTAGGTTTGAGCACTGTAGTGATTCTACAATACAATCCATGCACTGAAATATGACCGTACGCTACTACCAAACGGAAAAACAGACTTAGAAATAACATACTCTGGTACAACCCACCATACAGCAAGAACGTCAGCACAAACATTAGCTACAAATTCCTGTCACTAATCGACAAGCACTTTCCCATAGACCACAAACTCAGAAAACTATTTAACCGCAACACAATTAAATTAAGTAACAGCTGCATCAACAATATGGAATATATTATCAATAACCATAACAAACTCATATTGAGAGAACTCGACAGTACTAATGACATCATCAATTACAAAAATACACAAACTAAAACATGCAACTGCCGACAGAAAGAAAACTGCCCACTTAACGGAAACTGCCTGCAATAAATCTGTCATCTATCAAGCAACTGTTAAACGTTTGGACACTAACACGACTGAGACCTACATTGGACTTACAGAAAACGAATTTAAGACTCGACACAGGAACTACACTGCCTCTTTTCGCCACAAAAAACTAAGAAACTCCACCGAACTCAGTAAACACATATGGACACTAAAAGACGACAACATCGCTCACGGACATCTCATGGAGCATCATTACTCACAGCAAACCGTACAACAGCGCCAACAAAAGGTGCAACCTATGCCTGAAAGAAAAATTCTTCATCACCTACCAACCACAACTATCATCACTCAACAAACGTAACGAACTTATCTTCTCTTGTCGCCATAGACACAAGGCACTTTTATCCAATTTGTAATCGTACAAATCCGAAGCAAAATGTTTGCGGATACAAACGAATCCGGATACGTGTAGACAGGACCTTAGAGATCTGGGATAGTTCGACGATGACACCGAATTCCACAGAGAATGCTTGAACTTTTGTTTCTTGCAGGTAATACAAATGAAATTAAAAACACTAGCAAAACATTGGAATCTACATCGTGTTCCACCTTCACGTGTATTATAAATTTGTCAGTTTCGCATTACTGTTAATTTTTTTTATAAAAGAAATACAAGATGTTCTTTGTGTTTATAAAGGCCCAGCAAGCCTAGGAGACGTTTAAGAAAGCTCTAGACTTTGGTCTTAGGCTTCTTCTGATCTGATCTTGAGTTCTCTCAAAGGAATGCTCGATTGGCATAAGTCTGTTATATTTTTTTAAATCATATAGAGGATTAAGTTTCACCAAAAAGGGTGCACACATTTCCAGGACAAATAAAATTCACTTTAAGTTTGAAAGTGGTGAACCCAAAAAGCTATTAACGTCTTTCAAGCTCAGCATTGTTCGTGATCGTTGCCAGTTAATTAATTTCGTAAAATGGTACTCTTTTTGAATGTTTCAAGAAAAATATAACTATATGATTCATTACTTATAATTGTACAAATAAAAAAAACACTTCATGGTTCTGGTTTGTGTTGGTCAACAGTAAAAAAGAAGAAGACGTTTGATGATTCACGACGGAATGTATGCATAAACGAGCTTTCACAGCAAAATGAAAAGTTCAAAACAAAGTGGTTTTAACAGGAAAAAGGCATTTTAAATGCCAATAAAACGAATTGTTACCGTTTTAATTGAAAGATCTCATAAAACTGTAAAGTGGATTTTTTTTAAGATCAATGTGTACACGCTTACTTGTGTAATTATTAAAGTTTTTGTGATATGTACATTGAGAATTTATGTTGTCTTTTCTTAATTAACACAACTTAAAATTAAATTTTATTACGTTGTTGCACCACAAACATGCTTGTGTTTCATAAAACTATTTAAATGTTAAGTAAACTGGTCACATACCTAATATAACGCAAATTTGTTAAATTTTTTGCTAAAAAAATGGAAGTAGCTAATATACTCATTATGCAAGGCCAAACGTACATTTTCTAATTTACAAATCATCAAAACCTCCATAAATCCAAAACAAAGAATGTAAACTTTGACGTTAAAAGGTTCATTTAAAGTTTAAGAAAACTTTTATTTAAGTTAACAAAAAAATTCATGACATGGTCACTTAAAGCACAGCAATGTCAACTTTTCTTTCATGATATAACTTTATGTTATATTCTGACCATAGCCACAAAGCGATACAAAAACGATGTGCGGCGTGTTGCCTTTTCTTGTTTTCTGCATTACTAAAAATTACAGGAGTGTGCATAAAGCAGCCAATCAATGGCATGTGAGCCCTGTTTGATCTAAATATATATTACTGAAAATCAATGATAAATGTCGTATTATTAACAGCCATAGTAAAAAACCCTCAACAAAATACAACTAAAATAAAACGAAACTTCAATATTGCTCTTCTTGTGTACAAACAAGGGATATTTGTTGCGTTTACTAAATCCTAACTGTTCATCAAGGAGATGTACGAAAGAAACAGCCTATTAACTAAGTCGTTTCACACAAACTCGTTACAAGAAAGCAAATCCTTTTTCATACGGCTATTGCTGACAATATTATAGAAAACTATTTCATACAGTGGCAACTGTTTTCAACGTAACACTCTTGTCTTAAAATCCGTAAAGTCCAATCTGCTATCTTGATCTTGAACAGAAGACATTACGATGTTTGACATGTTTATAGATGAATTATCCACGATCATACGATAAGCTTCGTTAGCCACCATCACTGTCCAATATTCTAAACGGTTTGTTTTTTAAGTCCAACGAACCTGTCGACGTCAAACTCTGATTTCCAGTCAACATAGACTGGTCTTACAAAACCAAAACACGAACACTGAAAGAAATCTGCTATGTTTCCAACAATGCCTCGTCTAAAAAGCGAAAATAATTTAGAAAGTTGTTTAAAATATGATAAACAATGAAATTGACGATGAAATAAAATTCTATCAAACAGCTGACCACATCGAATATAAAATAAAATGACTACACCCTATACTCTTAAACAGCCGACAACACCCAACATTTTTAAAAGCTGGTTATAACCATTCCCAACAGTTTTAAAAGCTAACCACCCCCAACGCATTAAAAGTTGACCACACCCAATACTGTTAAATACCTGACAGTACAAAAAGGCTGACCATACACAAAAGTTTTGAAAGCTAACCAAACCTAATACATTAAACAGTTGACCACACCCAATACGTTTACAAAGCTGACCACACCTAATACTCCTTACAACACTTACAACAGCTTAACAACAACCACAACAGTAAAAAAGTTGATAAAAACCAGAGCAAAAGCTGACGGCACCAAATACTGTTGTAGATCATGATTACCTCAATAGAGCTTTTGATAGGCCAAAGATAAGGATTGTGAAATAAAAGGAGGAATGGTACAAAATATATATGTTATTTACAACCAGGAAGGTCCGTACTGAAAAAATATTTCACGAGGTTTCAGAAGCGGTCTGAGGCAAAAGAAAATATTTTTTCAACACGGATTGACCTAAACGGTAAATAACGTTTTAATTCTTTACATTAGATATAATTAAGTTAGATATAATTATTTCTTTATTAACGTTTTAATTCTTTATATTAGATATAATTAAGTTAGATATAATTAATTCTTTATTAACGTTTTAATTCTTTACATTAGATATAAATAACGTTTTAATTCTTTACAATTATAATTAAGAAATTCACGTAAAATGGTCGATGCTAAGGCTTGTTCAGACAGATTTTTTTTCTAAAAAGTTTAATTTGTCTGGATGATAAAGTTCACTCTCGCTATGAAAACTACCATCTGAATGCATTTTGCTCCTCCTTGAACAATTTACATGGTTTGTAAATAAAATTCAAAAAATTTCCTTTCGCTTTGTAAACAAAATTTATTGCAAAAACTGAAAAACAACAATTTAGTACAACAAACAAGATACCGTAAAAGTCGACGCTTCTGTAACCAATCACATGGCAGGAAATAAAAATCATCATTACGCATGTATCAATAAAATGTTGATATTACGTACGTGAATGGACTGCTGGGGATTCCATCTGTGTTTTTGTCAAAGAAATGTTGATATCTTGGAGCATTTATCATCTCATTCGTAGTCATTCCACGAACAAATACCTAAAATAACGAAGGACTGTTAAAAAATCTTTATCGTACGTGATTGGTTGCTATGACAATGTTTGAAACGAATACTAAAACACAGAACCAAAATTGTACTATTATTGAATATTTGGGGTACAAAATGGAGACTGCAGTCGAGAAGAGCACTGAATAAATTCCTTTTGTTATTTTATAATTTTCCAAGGAAAAAATGTTTATAAAATAACATGTTTCCAACGTCTTACTTTTAGCGCATTCATTCGATAAAGGAGGAAAATAAAAATATCTATAATAATACTTTTTTTAGAATCATTGATACCAGTTTTCAAATTTCAAAGGAAATATGAAATATTATTTGACAAAGAAACTTGGTAAAATATAAATTGCTGCAATACATTTACCGTATTGACACATATTTTTGTTAACAAGGGCGAAATTTGAAAAAAAAGTACAGCTTATTGCCTTTACACAATCTGTTTTCTACATTCTTTCATAATTATGTGTTAACTCTATTTCAACTAGAAAAACATGTATAGCTAACAAGTCATATATTATTATACAGTGTTGACGCAATTGTAATAGGCTATGTAATAGCAATTGTAATAGGCTATGCCAACTACAAAATATTGAAAATTATATAATACAATATAATATAAAACTGCGGTGAGCAAATATTTGTTTATGAAGGGAGGTAAAGGAACACCAATGGTACTGATGAAATATAATGAAAGCTAGGATGTAAGATAGCACAATTGGTACTGACTTAGGTAATGCAATACGGTAAAAAGATCAAGAATGTAACACATTGGGATTGCCTCAGTCTGACTGACTGAGTTGATTAAAAAAACTCAAGCGAGCAAAGACATACCTGGTGACATTGTGAGACAAACAGTGACGTCACCCATATAAGATAAAATATAGCTAAGAACACAGTCCACGACAACATTCCAGAACATTGGAACATGGCGGTAAAACCTTTTAACACGCCATTGTTAAAGGCACCACATTTGTCTGAAAAGTCTACAATAGCAATCACAAACCCTGTTTTCATAAACAAAATAGCCAAACAATGATGTTTCTAAAGATTAGATTTTTTCGAGTATCCACCTTTTTTACGTTTTAACAACAATAGGTGGGCACCGCTTTTGGTAGGCAAAAAATCATTCATAAATCATACGTCGTGTTATTTGTGTATCACAATTATGATATTGCGATACTTGTGTAGTGCATAATAATTGACTATCACCTTGAAACAGCAAAAATAATGCTTTATAATTCCTTGTCTATACAGGAGTAAGTTGCTTTTATATTTCTTTAAACCGTCGGCTGGTAAATTAAACTTTTTAGCCAAGGGTGATGGAATTACAGTAATCCCAGAATACTGGCATTATTTAAGTAATGACAATTAAAGACTTTCAATGTTAACGAACGGCAAACAGCATATGTTATAAACATATAAATTTATACTTACAGTAAAATGCTCCGTACACGGCGTAGATGTAACATACGATGACACAGAAAAGATAGGTTATAAAATATGCATGGTTGTCGGCACCTTCATAAAGTAAACAAGGCGATGCAATTATACATTTAATGTATGCTCCGTCAGGAATTTTTAAGTTTTTGTAATCCAAGACTCTCAATGTTCTCAAGACGAAGTCGAACGAAGCAATGCATGAGTGTTTTGTTGTATATGATAACAAAGATAATGGATTTCGACAGTTTTTTGACAAAAAAGTCTTTTGGTGGAGATTCCTCCGTCAAAATTTCTTTGCAAAATTGCAATTGGTTGAACTCCGAGTGTTTCTAAATCCTTTTTTTAACTAATAGTAGAAAAGCTGCTTTGTTTGTTCAGTTTTTTTACGATATTAAAATAAGCAGGTAAAAATTTTCCAACTGTTTCCATGTGTGGAAAAATTGAATTTATTTCAAGTCATATGACCACGAATGAACCAATTCCACTCAACATTCGGAGCCGCTAAATAACAATAATTGTTGAAATGACTAAAAACGAAGTCATTTGAAAACCAAACGCAATGACCTGGTCATATTTTATCGACATCAACTCCTCTTACTATACAGTGCTAGTGTAACCTAGATTGTGATTGGCCAAGAGCCTACAGACAATTCTCATTTTTTCGCCACTTAGCTACAAAACATCTCTAGGTGACGCTATTTTTAGTGTGGCAAGTGACAACAGACAAAACAAAAAGTATAATTTTCTTCAAGATTCGCAAAGCGTTTAACAAACTGTTTTGCTTGATATATTGAGAAGAAAAAAAAAACACGGAAAGGATTACAATGTCAGCAAGGAAAGTCTTCATCGAGTATTTACGTACGTACGGGGGAAAACGAGCTACAGAAATATTTGATGTGGAAGCACGGAAAAATTTATGGCTTCCGTACAGTTTAGTTTGACAGCTTGTTTCCTTATAATAGTAAAATAAAACAAAGAACAAATTAGGTTTTGCATGATATCAAGAAATATTTGTTTACAGCAACAAGTTGCTTGATTTTTCAAATACATTTCAAGGAAAATGAAAGAAAACTGTAAAGTAGCTATGTAAAATCATAGGTACAAACTTTTACAACCTACCAATGCAATTATCAACCCAAGGACAATGATGATCCATTCGAGCGACACATCGATCACACACAGAGCAATGTTTAGACCGAATGGGACGTCGAACCTTAAAAAAAAATCACAGTAAGCCTGAATGATGTCAGATGTGCATAGTTTCAAAGCTTGTCTTATTTCTTAACAAATCAATGCCATTGGCATGGGTAACATTGCTTTATACTTTCAACAATAGACATGCCTTCGAAATACTTCTCAACTGATGAAGTATTTTGTAACTTGCATATAACCGACTTCTTCTATCTATACGAGTTCTCTGAGAGTTCGCTGACACCTTTCTCATGTTTTTACAATCATAAGAGTAGCTTCTTCCCTTTTTAACATTGTTTAGAAAAGCCTTTTTCTTTAAATTTTACCATCCTAGAGGTAGCCCTCTCCTTTAATTAAAGCCATTCGTGAACATAAATATCTTACCAAACACGTCGAACAAAACGTTCTAAAATCCAAGCGCCCTTCTTCTGCGAGATTGACTATTATCTAAAATTAAATGATATTTCATGAAGTATTTGATTTCCACAAAAGGGACTAAATTAAAGAAAAAAAAAACTAATTAAACATATTTTCAGTAAGACAGTATTTTTTCAATTTTCCTTGACACGATGATATTTTGAATTCATCTCAAAATGAAGACGATTCTTTGCCGAAATTGATTTCAAATGCATTTCTGGCGGGTAAATGAGAAATCAAAGCAACATCGGCGATTTTGCTAAACTATTCAAGTCATTATAACCTCGTTGTATTTCTAATTGGTACCGTTTTAAACTTCTTTAAACGTTGAAAAATTTTACAGGTTTGCTTGCCTAAAGGAATTTCGCGTTATAATTTGAGAAGAATTCCTCTGAATTCAATAAACAGTATCAAGAACTCGCCTCCTGCTAGTGTTTTGCGCGCTTTCTCAACTCTCTCTTAATTCTTGCATTTTTAGATCAGGCCATCGAAACAAGGAAACCATTTAGTAATTGTTTAACTATAAACACTAGTTAGAAGGTAACTAAAAGTAATAAAACTTTAAAATATTAAAAACGGAGCGAATGTCATAATGTTGTGTAACGTCATTTCATACTAACTCAATTTCTAATATTGTAAAGAAAAGTATATTTTAAAAAATGTTTAACTCAAAAAGCGTACTATACATCGGTGACATTTAAATTGTAGGAACAGTGCTTAGATAAAAATGCTTTTTCATTACTGACCCGTTTGCGCTCTCCGTGACTTGATGAGATAAAACCTGGGTCACTTCTCCATGTTTTGTAAAATGAATAAAACAACAACGTAGAAAAACTAAGGAATGGAACAATAAAATACAAAGAACAGAGTAAAAAATAGTTAAGGAAACAACAAAAATAAAATAAGTGGTAATGTAATATGGCATAATAAAAGTTTGGTCAACATGACAAACAATTAATGTACGTTTAAACGCAGCAATTTTTTGGGTCGACAATGACATTATATGATGTCATATGACGTCATATGACAATGACATCATATGACGTGTTCTTGCTATCATTGAAAAGTCACAAGCAATAGCGTAAACAAGTAACGACTCAAAAAATGGGATAAAATCTTGGTGCCTGATAGTGAATAACTTGCTATGGCTACTGAAACAAGCATGAAGCATGTTGTGATTATTTAAAAATAATTTTCAAAATGGCTTATGTCGGCACGGAAAAAGAGAGTGTCGAGAGAGTGGCTGTGTCGAAAAATGAAAAGCTGCAGAGTAAAAGAAAAAGTCAACATTATTTTCTGAAAAAGAAACAAAGTAAATAGACGTCAATTTGTCCATTCTTTAAGCAATTCTTTTTACTCACACTGATTTTTCTTTTCTTGTGTTTTTTTTTATCCATTTTTGAGACAGTTACAATTATCAACATTGCCTCCGTAGCTAAAATGAAAAGTTTTGTTTTCGCTTCCTCGCTATTGCTTTTCGACATATAAAATCCTATACCAAGAGGTTAGTTGAACTTTTTTTTCTACTTCCCTCCTTCCCTCTATCCTCAAACCTTCCCATTAGGTTATCAATGGCACAAAAATAATTGCAGGCGATAATTGCAAACCATGTAGAAGAAATGTAAAGTCCACCGCACACTAGAGCTATCAGCTGAGCTGAGCTTCACTCGTGAAAGTTGGCTTAAGGGGGTTTCTCCATCATGCAGTGGAATTTATGAGAGCTTTCCGCCACAGATATTCAACATGCTAAATAATTTCGGTAACGAATGGATGTTTCCTCCAAATGTGCGCGCATGAAAAGCTATCGCTTCAGCAAATGTGACCTTTACGCATGCGCAAAGTAACACATTTTATATTTTAGACGAAGATGGCGGTACAAAACGTGGTAGCTGATATAAAGTTAGACCAAATTGCTCGTCTATGGCAAGAATAGCCTTGTCTATACGACGTTAGAAGTCCTGCTCTTAAAAACAGAAACTTGCACGATAGTAGAAATCTTACGCTTTGTCCATGTTGTTCTTTTAGCTGCTTGCAAACGCCTTCGCCCCACCACGATAGAAGTAACAAAATCAACATTTCTTCGTCTTCTTCCTCTGACGACGAATCAAAAATAACACTCGCAGCAGCCGTTTTGCTTTGAATAGCAAGTGACAGTAGACAGCGCATGCGTAAAGGTTATATTTGCTGAGCCGATAGCTTTTCATGCGCTCACACTTGGACAAAACATTCATTCGTTACCGAAATTATTCAACATGTTGAATACCTGTCAAGTACGACACGCAAGGCGGAAAGCACTCAAAAATGCCACCGCACACTGGAGGAGCTTGCTTAAGCCAACTTTCACGAGTGAAGCACAGTTCTGCTGATAGCGCTAGTATGCTGCGGGCTTAATATTTACTTCAGTTCATTTCAATAAGTCATCACCTCTAACATACGTTCTCAGAGCTTAATGGCTGACTTTACTTGTCTACGTACTTAGATTACTTACTTGGACAAAACGGACGCACATAAAAAAACAAACCTACCTCTCCGGAAATAATAGGCAATCTCAAAGGTGGATTTATAGGGTGCACAAGGGTGGTCGCCCAGTACGCAATGGTCAACATGGGTACTTAGAGGGGTGCAAATTGCAAAATGTAATATTAAAATCCATCTTACTTTTAATGAAAAAAGCTTTTCTTGATTATATCATTAAAGTTTATTGACTGTCAATGTTATTTATTTCGTTGACCAAAACGGGAAATTTTGGGCATTTTTAATGACGTGTAGATTAAAACGTAAATAATTGGTTTCTAACCCCTTGACTTTAGCTGATCATCATACCAGACATCTCCCTAAAAATCCCCCCGGGATTCATTACTGGCCAACCGCAAAACAGAAATATCATCTCAAAGTAACGAACGTTTACGATTGCATACGATTTCACTCAGCGCAACCAACTTTCAGTTACTCATAATACAAGACCAAAATGAATGGTTTCGTCTTTAACAAACCACAAACAAAATACATGAAATAAAACGAAAAGGATATATTCCACGAGAAAAAAATACCATACAGCATACGTCAAAGATTTTGTTGCCATGGCTATACCAATAGCCATTGGATTAGATTTGATATCGTAACTATAAAATAATCTGAAACAGAAAGCATTCTGGTATATTTTGTTTACAAACACACAAAAAAATGACAAACCATAAAACTAAAACGCAACATATACGGTCCAAAGGGATGGTTAGGGGGCGCAAAAGACTGTTCTTCAAAACTACTATTTGCCATAAAATAGCAAGGAACGATACCTAATAAGCGCACAAGTAGCTACGTAGACCTTGTTTTCACATTTTATTTTCGTCATATAAAAATTGTTTTTTGAGCATGCATGTCTGTATTGTTCTTTGGTGCAATCATTCTCAACTCAGCCGAATGAAAAAGGTTAACTAGCATGATGACTTCGGCAAATCCTTAGAAATTACGATACTTCGAGGGCAAGTTTACGAAGTGAAGAGTCCTTTTCAGAAAAATGGGGACACGAACATCAAAGGTTCCTACACGAGTGGACCTTCTGTCAAGATATCTATTCTGTGCTTTTACTAAACATCCCTAGGTTTGGGGAGCACATATTCACTAAAATCACTGAAATCATGCTTTTACTTATAATAATAAATGAATACCAATGTACCTAACTGAGCCCCATGTGATAAGAAATGTCGACGCAAGAAATGCCGTACATTCCCATCCTTTCATCCACTCCAAGACGGCAGCGATTGAGAAAAGTGTGTAGAAAGGCAAGAAAAGCATTATACGATAACGGAATACCTGAAAAAATTAAAACTTTCTTTGAAACATTCATTAATAAAAAACGTCCATGAAATGCTTGGTCAACTTTCTTTTAGCTCGATCAAAATCAGTTTTTCATTGTTCTCTAACAGACATAACTTGCACTAAATAATGTAAAAAACTATTTTTGTGATTACATTTAAAAATATGATAGTTCAAAAATGACCGGCATGGAATAAAATTGACTGTTCAACAAGCATTTTCGACAAGTCAATGTCCGTTGACCGAGTCCTTTATTTTGAGCCGTACTTATGTCTTTATTGAGAGGCCATGTTTATGTCTTTACTGTGAGCCTTGTTTATGTTTTTATTGTGAGCCATGTACATTAGTATTGTGTGGCCGATCTTCATATGTTCATTTAGTAAACAACATAAATCTCTTCAAATTGTCACAATGGTTGGGATAACTTTACAAGTATTTTGTATACGTACTGTGATAGGAACGTGAAATGAAGAAAACATTTTTCAACAGATAAAATTTTTTTTATAAAACAAAATAATTTGTTTTGCAAGGAAGCGAAGCTTTACATTATTGAAAAATTATTGAGTTGAATTTCCTTTTGGTGAGTTTTGCACAACAAAAAACCTTATAGTAAAAATATTATGTACTAGTTTGCCAGTTATAAAAGCAAATAGAACAGAAATACAAAAATATATTCCGTGAACTAAGATAGGTTTAAACTTGCATAGGTGTAACAAGAAAAACTATTGCTTCCCATTCCTTTATATTTCAATCATTGTTTACTACCGTGTATGTGTACATGTGTACATGTTGAATGTGTACATGGTGTATGTGTACATGGTGTATGTGTACATGTTGCATGTGTACATGGTGTAAGTGTACATGGTGTATGTGTACATGTTGCATGTGTACATGGTGTAAGTGTACATGGTGTATGTGTACATGGTGTAAGTGTACATGGTGTATGTGTACATGGTGTAAGTGTACATGGTGTATGTGTACATGGTGTATGTGTACATGTGTAAATGGTGTATGAGTACATGTTGCATGTGTACATGTTGCATGTGTACATGGTGTAAGTGTACATGTTGCATGTGTACATGTTGCATGTGTACATGGTGTATGTGTACATGGTGTATGTGTACATGTGTACATGTTGCATGTGTACATGGTGTATGTGTACATGGTGTATGTGTACATGTTGCATGTGTACATGGTGTATGTGTACATGTGTACATGGTGTATGTGTACATGTGTACATGGTGTATGTGTAAATGGTGCATGTGTACATTTGTACATGTTGCATGTGTACATGGTGTATGTGTACATGTGTACATGGTGTATGTGTACATGTGTACATGGTGTATGTGTACATGTGCACATGGTGTATGTATTACAAGAGTCAAAGCTTTTGTTCGTGTAGCCATGTAGCAACAGAACTGTTAAGTTCGCGTGAATTTACATAAAGCAAGCCTCAGACAGTTGGATCCAGGGATGTATTGCTATCGCTAATTGGGGGAGGGGGGCTCTAATTCATAAATTCATGATATGCTGTATTAAGTTTATTTGAAATCTACAGATTTATATCATGCATATATGAATAAGAGCCCCTAAATTAGCGATAGCAATATATTCATGGTTGGATCCTTCAGTCTAAAACATCAGATGGAAATAGAACTTGCTCTATTTTCATCACAAAAGATCGAAAGAAGCCGAAAAGCGTCAGACTTCTTGCTTTCCACATTTCCCAAATTTGATACTGCTTGAGAAACTAGAGTTGAAAAAGAATTGGGAACAAGAACAAAAATACGCAAAACAAATGTACTGGATAAAACAAATAGCTGCGCTCACGACTTTAAATATCTCCTAATTTTGTTCGAGAAAAAATTACGGACCATCTATAGAAGCAACAAAAGCCGGAACCGAAACAATCAGATCCCAAAAATCGGATTGTGTGACTGGGTCTTAATACTGATTCCTACTAATGACAAAAATTAATCAATAGAAAAAATAATACTTCCCACGAAAAATGATGACGTCACAAATTTTAATACGCAGAAATATGTGACGTCACAGTTTTAAAAGAAAAAGTAGGTCACAGTTTCAATACAAATAGATGACGTCAAAGAATCAGTAGTTAAATCACTACGATCTGTACCAACATCAACAGATTGTAACAGCATCAAAAGACATCTTTCGGTGTTTACCTTGTTTGTTGAAATATTTCTTAACCAGCCTGGTTGTTCACGACCTTGATTCAGGTTTAAAAACTCGAGTTGAGTCATGATCCAAGATGATTTCTTCTGACTAGCAAGGTCTAATGGTGTTTCACCCTGAACAAAGAAAAATGCAAGTGAAAATCAATGAATCGAATACGTATTCAAATTATTAAACACCTTTTCTCAAAAAATTCATTGTTTAATAAATTAACACATAGCGCAAATTTACGAGATACGTACACGTACGTAATTATTTTGTTTTAACATTGTTCTGATATCGTAAACTGCAATACGTAGTATTTTGTATTCTATCAAAATGTTTTTTGCATGTTTGATGGACTTTACAGCTGAGTTTTGCACTTTCAATGAGTAAATGTGTTAAAATATGTGGAAGTATGCAATATCGCATTGATTTAAAATGGGAAGGGGGGGTTAGTAGTTAGAATTTGTCTTCTTTAGATTTTAACTTGTCACATAAAGTGTCTGAGATTTATAATCAACAACAGCACGATCTCAACAACTTCAATAGGAAATTTACCTTTTCGTTAGCGATGGTCGCATCAGCGGAAGATTTGATTAAAATAGAAATACCGTAATGATTACTGGATATCACTGCCCAATGCAAGGCTAGAGAAAGGAAAATTAGAAAATATCCTCAATTATAGTAAAACAAACCACCAGAGGGCTTAGTTGACTAATTAACTGATTAGTAAATTTTTAATCATTAACAAGTTTCAATTACTGCAAAAACACGACGATTAACTGAGGATAAAATTGAAAGTTAAACATCCCAAATACAAAACAATTTGCAAAATCTCGATAAATTGTTGTTTTTTTAACAGAGTACATTGTTGATGTAATGCTCTGTTGAGGAACGGCCTTTTGAAATAACCTAATAATATGGCCGCCTTGACGTCATATGAAAATGTTACGTCATGACTATATAATGATATTCACGTAAACAACAATTGAATACAAGTTTCTCAGCTACACATGAATACGACATAATTAAATACTTACCTGTATTTTTATGGAATTTATCTCGTTTATTTAAAGAAGCTCCCATAGTCAATAGAAGTCTGATGGTGTCGACACTGAAAAACAATTAATAGTCTTGTATTCATGATTCCTTTATACATTACTGTCAGGTATAAATTATGAAACGAAATAAATCGTCGAGGAGAAAGATAGTAGCTAAAACGTATAGCATAGCCACACTTTCATGGACCAAAGACTATTCGTATTTGGGATACAGTTTCATAATTTATATAGCTACAAATTTATATGCTTTTATTTGCAATCACAATCACCTTCTAAAAATAGTGTCATTGGACAAAGGATTGAACGATGTGTTTATCAGCTTATTTTAGTTAATAATTTCATATTAAATACTAAATAATTCAGCACCTACGAACATCAACACATCATAACGTGAGCGCAGATATATGTACGCAATGCGTAACTAATTTTAATACAGTAATTCATCTAAAGAAAGATTTTCACACATAGTACTCTAATTTTTGACAAATCAAATGGAAGTGGCATTTTAAACTCAAATCGTCAAAATTTTCAATAAGACATGATGTCTAGAACAATGATTCGTCGGGCCACGCAGGAGCCTTCACAGTCAATTTAAGAGTTATTTGTTTTAAACAACAAAACACTTTAGACAAAACTCAAACGTGATTACTCACCTAAAAGATCGATAAGCTGCCCACATTAGAGGAGTCATTCCATTATTGTCAAGTTGATCAACATCCTTCAACAATAAATAATGCAAAACATTAGCTACGATTTTCAATTCTTTAAGACTTGAAAATGGCTTCAACTTGAATGGTTATTTCGTAGTCATTGCACTAGTCTGATGTATTTTAGGGCGTTACGTCACTAGCAACTTATAGCGTGTAACGGTAGTTGAATTAAACTGTTATATTCTAAGTAGAAATATAACTGCCCATCATAAAACTTTTAAAATGGCCATGGGTATATAATTTTATTAAAAATAACGTTTCGTTAGATTAAAATACGTGCATACACGTAGGAAGTTAGAAAACATGTATACTAAGTTAAATTACAAGGTATAGTTTCGAGTAGGCTTGTCTCGTTTACAAGGAAGAGAGGTGGAAGGTTAATTTCTCAAATGTTATTAGATAAGGTCGTTGTTGTTTGTAGTTGTTGGTTATAGCATTATGCTATCATTCTTTTTGTGTAATTAATATGTAATCTAACACCAACAAATCATATAAATAACAAAACGTGTATATACAGCCATGGCCTTATTAAAAGTTTTATGTCGGGCGATTATATTTATATTTAGAATTCGCTTTCCGCCTGGGAAATCAATTGTCACAATATCAACTGTAATAAAATTTCTCCAGTCTGTTGATGTCTTCTCTCAAGTGTTTATCACAAAAAAAAATATCACATGAATAAACAGTTGTACGGAAAATGATTAATACGTATGAATAAAGTATTTTTACCATTCCCTTGGCGATCATGTAAGCGACAATTGGTGTCTTGCTAAGCTGACTTGCAACATGAAGACAGGAACAGCCTAAAGGTGAAACACAAAAGGAGTAATATTGCATAAATGAAGGAAAGTATATCATATCGTGTATTTCAAAAAGAAAATTATCTACAACTGTTCGGGTGTGTTGTGCTACATGTTAATTCGGAATCGACAAGCGGGAACCCAAGAGATTATGAAAGCAAAGTAAAAACTTTTTTATTTCCCCTTTACTCAGAATGGTATAGTCTCTGTTCCACAAAAAACCTGAGTACATGTCTATACGTGGAGCTCTCGTGGTACAATGAATACCTCGAATAACTCACCAGTTTTCGATCATAAAATGCACTTGATAGAAAATTGCATTACATAATTTACTTGAGAAGTTGACAGTGTTTCAAACGATAGGCATTTGTCTGAACATAATTTGACCTATGGTATTTTTTTTCGAAAAAAAACATACAGAAATCCTGTGGCAGACCAAAAATTACGCAAAATTCTAGCGGCTGCATCAAAAGCCGACTGCTAGTTCTATCTTTCAAAAGATCAAAAACTTATGAAATGAAGTGCTTTTAATGTATTTTAGAAAATAACGCGATACCAATCAAAAAGAATCGGATGTTTTCGCTGTATCACTTAAAGCGATTTTACAATTACACAAATCATATTTTACGTATAAGTTAGGCCATTGACTTTATTTCAAGTCGCTTTATACCAAACTAAAAAAGGTCAAAGCAAAAACTCTCATAAAATTACCTTCTATATCTGTGGAGTTAGGATTGGCCCCGTACTTCATCAGTAGAACAACCATATTCAATAAACCTTGTCTACATTAAATAAACAAAAACAATCAATAGTTCAATGAATTGACAATCAAATAATTATACAACACAGAAGAAATTTGTAGAAGCTTAATAAAATTTGATCAGACAAATCCTCTATTTTAGAGCAATGCAACAGCAATATGAGAATGCTATGTACATCAAACTTGCACATGTAGGTTGCAGATCAAATTAATCAAATATATCTTTTTTTCATTTACTTTCCACAAAATCTGAGTAACAAGTCTGAAGATGTTTTGACTCAAGAGGAAATGCCACTCGCTTGTATAAAACACTAAAAAATCAAATGCTCATGGTTTTCTTAAGAAACAATCTGTTGGGCTCTGAGCTTTATTATGTGATTTTAATGCCCACCTGGCATCTTATTAACAACAGCATGCCTTATATACAGTACATACTGCTTATATAATTGCATTGTTAGGATTTTCACCAACATTTAACTAATTTGAATTAGCTGCATTCCCATTACCTTACAGCCCAGTGCAAAGGAGTAGCTTCAAGATTTCCACCTTTTTGATCAACAATCGCACCATTTGCAATTAAATATCTAAACATGCAGTACTTACAAATTAGACATAACATAAATTAGAAAAATAACACAGAAAATATTAAACACAAACGTAGTGTATCAAACTTGTGAGTTCAATCACTCTTGTTCTCTAACAATAAATTTGCACTCTACAGTTATGTATTACCATGGGTCCCTCATTATGGTCAGTGATGTAGCCAGCCAAACGAGTTTAGTTGTGCTATGTAAATTTTAGGTGTTCGTTAACTGAAAAACAAAAGTTTTCTAAAGAAATGAATAATGCTAATGATGAAAATTTCCATAACATGAGAAAATTTGCAGGATGGCTACACCACTGACTATAATATTTATAAGGTTTTGCTTAAACAAGAAACTTTTTCATTCCTTCTGAAGGCTTGAATTTCAATGCACATTTTAAATATATTATTATAATAGTACTTGATGAATTTCATGCATTTTCCACAGAGTAAATTCTTAGAGTATGTAAAAAATAACATTAACATTGAATCTTAAAGTGGTCGACTAAAGTAATTAAACATATGTTTATTTAGTGACAAAATTGCAGAGATCCTTGTTAACTTTGACGAGACCATGAAAAGTAAGAGGAAAACGAGGTAAAATAATACCTACTTTACAATCTCAACTCGGTTGTTGATTGCAGCCCAATGCAGCAATGTAACATTTTCTGAATCTGGTGCCCTGACATCAGCACCTTTATCAATTAACTCTTTCAATTTCTCCATTTCACCATACTGTACTGCCTGGACTATACTCATTGCAGCAGTGTCTGGTTTTGAATGTGCTGGTGGTGGAGGAGGTTTTGGTCTATCAGCAGGGCCTGGCGATGGAAAATCAACCTTTGCTTCACCCTCATTACAACAGGAGTCCTTTTTTCCTTGACAATGTCCATGAGCATGCCCACTGGCTGTGTTCATCTTGGGGTATGAGCTGGCATCTGAATTTGTACCATACATCTTAAATACAAAGATATATTATGGTCTTATAGTAGAAACAACTATCAACCAACATATATTACAAATTTGTAGCATCATTGATCATCAAAAGATAAAAATAAATGAGATAATTCTTTGAAGAGATGACCTTAAATGTGATCAGAAAAGACACATTGTGAAAATGTTTAGAAAATACAATCATCCAGCCAGAGGCAAAGCTAGATTGCCAATTTGGGAATGGGATGGGGTGTGAATATTCATGTACTTAGCTCTGCCTGACTGACTTCCTTTGAAAGCAATTTAATTTGAAAAGAAATTAACTGGTCACGGCTGAATATATGAATATTCACACCATACCAAATTAATGTTTTAGCTTCGCCCTTGCAGGAAGCCTTACCAAAATGTTTCTGAAGTGATTTTATAATACTTAGCATACATGCATGTTATCCAACTTGGACATACTTACAATAGTCACACACAAGCATCTCCTAGGACTCCACCCAAATAACATGTGACACACAGTGTGCAAATTAGTTCAGAAAAAACGATGTGAATTTTTTTTGACAAAAGTGTTTCTTGAAAGGCATAATCAAATCAGTATTACGTTAATTGTTTTATAGTGCTAATTGCTAAATTAATATTTTTAAACATGAACAAATTCATATGATTTACGACAGTGTTTTTCGTGTATAGTTTAAATAGAAATTTTTTTTGCATATCGTTTGAAAAAGTGATGTGCAATTGTTTTCATTTTAGCTAAAACGATGTGCAAATTGCACATTGCACACCATTAATTCGCACACTGGTGACACACTATTGAATTATACCATCACAGAGAGATGCCCACCCACTGGACCTTCCTATAAATACACCCATAACATTGATCACTTTTCCCACTGTACCAGATTTTCAGCATGGATGCTGTATATGAAAGAATGTTATATGCAGTGCGGTGTTTGAAATTAAATGAAGATGTGATCTTTGCACTTTTTTTGTCCAGCAAAAGTGCGAAGATCATATCTTCATTTAATGGATGCTGTATGTTCATATTTTCAGTCATTAGTGCAGTATATTAAAGAAAATGAATTTATTGGCTACTTTAACTACTGTTTCTTGCAAGCATTAAGAAAGAGTGTAAAAACAGTATTTTTCTTTACATATTTTACTAAACGCTGGTTTCAAAGTTTCATACAAAATAATTACTTTGCTCACAGTTGACTCTCAACTGGCGATTGTTGATTGGTTTCTTTATAGTGATGTACATTGAAACCTAATAATCTAATTTTCTAATTGTCAAATCACGAGGTTCATTTACAAATCTGGTATATAGCAATGTTGCACTATAAATCACGTTTTTATAGTGTTCTTAAAACATACAAAATTTAAAACTATGAACGCTTTTCATTTCACTGGTCCATGTAATTATGCTGATAATATTTCAGAAACTATTCTTCAAATTCTGATGATTTCGGTTTAAAAACAACTAGATCTAATAGATCATAATGGACAAAAGGAACTGCATTCAATAAGACTTACCTCCAAAGGCCTGTACATTAAATATTTTTTGTTTAATAACGATAAATATACACGATAATCAACAGCATTTCCAAATGCAAAGCAGTTATTCACTCAAACATGAAAAAAAATTACTCAATTACATCCATCAGGTGTAGTCAAAGCAAAATCTCTAGTCTTATTGCTGACATACATCAGGTTAATGTAATCCGTTTATTTTTATGGAATTTGTATTCCATCAATAAGTTCATTTGATTTGGACTTCTTTTCAAGTTTTTTAATGTTATCAATCATTAGAGAATTTATTTAGATAAAGACTATGAAACTCTTGCTTGGAAGCGGATGGAACATGTATATCTCCTCATAATTAAGTTATTAAAATTGATCTGAAATTTAAAAGTCTCACATGCGCCGCAAACTTTGTAATAATTCATTATGAATATATTATATGCATTTACCAAAGGTAGGCAACTGTTATCGCAGTTACAAACACATACCTTTATATAAAGTAACAATACTTAAAAAGCAAGCACGAACTCAAAATAATAATTATATCGCTAAAAAATGGGATAATTTTTCTACATGAATCCATACTTGGCTTTTAAAAAAGACGACGAAAATCCCGACAAATATGCGTGAACATTTCAACTTGTTTGAAAAATTTTTCTGTCTCCATGCTGGATGCCTTGAAGTGGTGAATACGCAATTATTTACAAAAGGACTCTCAACTGCAATTGACTAATTTAATCTTTTAATTTTTCAACCAGAACTTTTTCTACGCTTATAGCGCGACTTGGTCATGTTCTCGAAAATCAGCATGACCAAGTAATGAATTTTATAGTAAAATTAGCCCTAATTTGAAAGTAGCTGGTCATGCCATTAAGCAAAAATACATGGTACGCTACCTGTAACCTTATCTAAACTAGGCGCTAACCCTACTGTAGTGTCTAACAATTAAATACAAAGGGCTTCAGAGTATGTGTTTAGCTCCACCTTAAACATTTTTACAGCATATTATTGCACTGACACAGAACATTTTAATTCATTGCCAACGCTCTAAAAATCCCTCCAACATTACAGATTACACTCAAACGGAGAGAGAATGTTTAACATGGTAACGTGGTGATGTGTGTAAGAATCACTATTTCCGCTTACATTTTCCGCATTCTAGACATTGTCTATGTTGGGAATACAAAATGATGCAGGCAAGTATTAAATTTTATGACGTCGTGAGCAAAAGCAATTGGGCTTGCATGAATGTGAATGGTCATTTTAATAATTCATTTCGCTTTTGCATTTCATTTCTCTGCCATACAATAATAATTATGTTCGTGATTCCTCTGTAAAATGGCACAAACCACGCATAGATCACGTTTTTTTATTGGCATAGGTTCTGCAATATTGTTCTTAGCAAATTCAACTTTTATATGTGGAGTTATTCAAAAAAAAACGAGTAAATTGAATGGAGTTGGAATTCAAGCAATTGTGTATTCTCTTTACGTATGTATAACTTTAAATAACTGAATATTTAAAGTGTATTTAACTTTAAATAACTCGACATTTATAGTGTATTTATGTTTCTTTACCAAATAAAAGCTTATTGCCAAACGTTTGAAAAAAACAGCACAAGACAAGCAACTTTTATAGGTTTAGTTAGCATATTTGAAGGCGACATATTAATTGCAACAAAATAAATAAGCAATTATTTAGTTATGTCGTCATTTAAATGTTGTCGTGGCGCGATACTGTTGCTGGTTTGAAGTAGCTACAGTATTAAAACTATAACACATTAAATCAAGCGACGACTGCTGATGAATCTGCAGATGTGAATCTTAAAATCTTGTCGAATACTACCGGCATATGTTGCGTACATTTCTTTAGAACAACTCATACGTTAAATATTTTATGATCTTTTGCCACATTTACCTGTGTTTCCTGCTTGTATAATCAAGTCAAAGTTTTGCAATTTTAATAGTTTTTGTGTAGTTTAGCTAAAACTATTGAGTGCGATATGGTTTAGCTTATGATCGGGCTTATTGTAAAGTTATAGCGATAAGAAATGTCTAGACCAGCTTATTCGCTACGCTGATGACGTCAGATTTCTATAAAACTCCACCTGGGCTACACATGTTATTTTTTAAGTTTTTACGGCATTGTTATGTTCTTTTTATCTGCCAAAAATTCTCCGATATACATTTTAAAATGGAAATCTTTCGGTACGTAAATCTCGCAGTGTATGAAGTATGAAAGCATGCATATACTTTATTACGTATGCAAATACTTATATAAATGTATAACCCGATATTAAATTAAATGATGCACTTGAACTCCAATTGACCATAACCGATTATATACAAGGGCAACAAGTTAAAATAAATGCAGATACGGATTGGATTAGCTTACCATTGGAAGGACGGATAACATAAATTAAAAACTAAAATGTGGATGCCATTGGGATGTGTGTGTCAGCACCATAAGATGGAACGCTACGTACGTCGAAATTTTGTTGCCACTAGAGCAAATAGAGCCTAGTTTTTTTCAACGCATTATAAATATACGGCCGATAGACAGAAGCGAAAACTAACTTGTACATACTGCACAGCTCCAAAAACAAAACACAAGCTCTTTTTTGTCTTAATTTGGCAAACAAAACTTTCCCAAGTGAGACATAACGTCTACATAGTTTTTTGACAATTACATGTTTGTAAAGGAAGCCATAGCCAACCATAAAGAGAAAGCATTTTGCAGTAGTTGTTTGTTTTTTTGTTTTTTTTTTTTTTGGTAAATGTGCCAAAAATAAAACCTAATTGTTACAAAGTTGCTACTCTTACTTGCATGATACTTATGAATTTCATACAACATAAATAGCACATGTAATTTTATAGAAACTCCAGTTTTAGAAATTTATTTTTGCCAAAAACAATTATTGGTGTGCCTCCGTCGACGCACAAATTTAAATAAAAACACAGTTCTTAGTTCAAACTTACATGAGATTTGATTTTAAAAGATAAAATAGTCAATACTCGATGTTAGGTATTTGATTCACTAGCTAAAAAATCATCCCAAAGCTTTTCATTTTAGAGGTATCTAATAATTTTTCCTTTTGTAACTTTCTGTTACTTTGTAGTTTTTATAAAATATATACAAAATGATGCGTGCGGTGATTGGTCTAGAGCCGTGTTCGCCTTTGCAAAACACATCTGAGCTCAACCAATCAAATCAATCAAAACAATCAATCAGTCAAAGAGAATTTGCAAATCGATCATGAATGCATTTTAAAGAAAAATTAATATGTTTGTTATTTTTGCATTATTGATATTTTATAAAAGAAATAAAAGATGTTTTTTTGTGTTTGCACTGGCTTATGCAAGCCTCGTAGAGGTTTGTGGGCCAGTGAAATTTTATGGCTAAATATTTCGGTTTGAAAGTGGAATCTTATATGGCAAATAAATTAACTTGAAAGTCATCTGAAACCAGAATCATTTGCATTTATTACATGTATAAATCCATGGGCTAAACTAGATGCTAATTGGGAGATTAATATTCATATGTCGCCAACAAAAGAAATCAGCAGGGAATAGCTGAATATATGAATATTTACACCTCTCATTTAGCGTTCCACTATTGTCCCTGCTAGAATCACCAAGTGAAATTAGTTATCAATTTTGCTGTAGGTGCTCAACTATAATTATGAACATAACAGAAATTCTTATAAATTCAGGCTTTTGACATTGGGTAGATCTACGTATCTGCAATATCAAAAATAAAAGACTCCATGAATGTTGGTTTGCCGTAGAAAATTCACAGTTTCACGGACTAAATAAATGCACAGACTTCATTACTATATTACTATAATACACATTCCCTTGCATGTGCATTAGCTGACAGTATATTCTCTCGTGGCAGAAAGTTGCCAGTTGAATGTCTTATTCATTTTTTTTTTCTAAGATGATTGCACCTGGTGTACTATGCGTTATTACTGGATGGAAGAGGAGGCCAGCTTTGGTAAGTTATTGTATGTTGATGTGATCATGTGGGGATGTATGTTGTTTGCAAGCACATTTTTTTCAGTCAGGAGCTACCCTCGCTTTAAATATCGTTGCTGTTATCGCATCTTCTTCATGTTTGTATATATCTGCTAAGGAATGGAAATCAATGAACAATTGTTATCACAAATATTTTAACTACGGTAAGAAACAGATAGTTATTTGCACAATTTCTCAATTTATGCTAGTAAAGAGAATATTAAATAAATTGCAAAACATCATTGAAAAAAATGCATATCATTGACTAGAACTTAATAAAATGTAATACATACAGCAACGAATACAGATAATGACTTACTTTAGGAAGTCTATTCAGCAACTTATAACAAAACCTACTAATTCGACTATACTAATTACCAACACAGACTACACTTACAACTTCTACACTTATATAATACATATATGCTATTTAGCTACTGCCTAGGAGGTCCATCTTGAAAAATACTGATTTTTCTAAGGCCTCAAGAAAGCCAAAGTGTGCAGGCGAGAGGTCTTTTTCAGACCAAGGAGAAATATTTTTCTAATCGGACGGACCCTCTAATTTATTTTTTTTTTAATACTGAAGGCAATAACCTTATTAGATTGATTAGTCAAATTCAATACTGACAACCCAGTAAACAACCAAAACTCTACTCTTTGTTTTACTTAAAAACTAAAAAAAAAGTTACTACAAAGCTAGAATTCTGCCCACTGCTAATTGGTAAAAAATATACACAAACAAATAATAAACTTTTTCGCATTGGGCATTTTAAGCTTATCCGAAACATCACAACTCAATAGAAACTTAATCTATAATTATACTTATTACCTTTTCACATAATATCGTCACATAGGTAAAATCAAAACAGCAAGTACGGCAAACCTGATTTTTGCTCTTTACATATGAATGTTAAAATATCAACTGCTAAGTACATCAAACATATCCGGAAACATCAATCAAAATCAACTATAATGCCCTAAACTGGTTGATCAACATGCGCAATTTTTTTTGTTAGTTTACAAGTTTTTTGTTCATTCACATACACCAATAAGGCAAGTTCAAATTATTTCTTACATGTGTTACTTTGATACAGCTTATTGTAAACGAGTTGCAAGTGAGAATCAACATATTGTTGTCGGGGCCATCACAATTTGCTCGGCTATCATGGCAATTATGAGTCTTATTGGATCAATTTATGGATGCGTCAACACATGCCCATGCTGTAGTTCCAATCAGGTATCAATAAAATACGACATCTGCTTTCCTCTTAGTTATAAAGTTGAGACAAACGTTCATCGTGTAATTATTGTTTTATGTCAATTGCTTATGTTAGTTGGCAGCTCAAAACATTTTTGTCTCCTCTTAACTTGTTTGAAACAACTGCCGATAGCAGGCAGGATTTTAACAAAATACTTACTTTAAGATACTTTTCACGTTATAAAATATCATCGCTTCAATATGTAATAATTAAATATGTTCACAATAGTGCGAAGTTCCAGTCTTTATAAACGCACAACATGTCATTCTGCATTTCCGAAATAATTTTTCTAAAGTGTTGAAATTGAACTGAAGGAAAAGCAACTCTAATGCAAAATCATTAAAATTGTTGTCATGTCTTTTATCACTGGTATTTTTTTAGGTAGAACATTGATATGCCTCTGTTTTTCAAACTGCGAATTTCCAACATTTTAAATTATATAATTATAGAACTTCAACGTCGGTTGAAATCTTTTTTATCGCATTGACTATCTTCGCCCATATCCAAGTACAAGTTGATTTTTTATAGAGTTACGCACACCTACATGACGATTTCTCGGAACCTTTGCCCATCTTTCAAGTCGAAACAGGTCAACAAGCTCCTAGAGTACCTCCTTACGTTGAGTCATCCACGTCATGTGTCGATTTAGGAATGACACAGATTCAATGAAATTTGCATCAAATTTGTTACACAACTGTAGCATAGTTACACTAAGTATCAGTATGTTTTCTTGCGTTTGCAGCTAAAAAGTCTAATACGTCGAACTTTTTTTTACAATTTTCATCACAAATAACATTAAATATAACGTAATATAACGTGTAATTAGTCAAAGCATGTAAAATCTCAATGATTGGGGAACCTAGACAAATGTTTGCGACTTGTAAATTTTCCTTTCAAACGTGTGTTTTGCACGGTGAACAACATTGTCTAGAAAAGTAATCAAAGGTACTAGTTATACAGGATGTAAAAGAAAACTGAACAGTTTGGAATACATCCATATCGCAAGATTTGGAAGAAACTTCGTTGGAAAAAGTTGGACTTCCAATGGTAGATCAACGTGCAAGATTTGTAAACACCTTTAAAATAATAGTTGGATTTGTACATCTGAGAATAAAAGTTTTAATAACCATTTTTAGAGTGAAAATTATGTTACGGAGAAGCACTTTTAAAATAGCCTGCACACATGGAAAAAGTAATAGGAATGCACAAGTTTAAAGCGTGAGCAAGGTATTCAAAAATTTCTTTCAATAATCTACATTTATTTATGCATTTGTTCTTGAAGGAAAAAACTGAAATGTTAAACGAAACTCTAAGTTTTTTGTGACACTTTTTCTCGAAAAATTATTATTTGTAAGCTCCAAACCACCAGTTTGTTGTGGAAACCTGATTTTCTGTGTTTCTGTATTTCCTGGAAAATGTTGTTTAAAGTATCCAAAAATGACCAGATGGTAGCTTAGTCATTTTTGGAGGATGTGGAGGGTTGAGTTTCCTGAAGATGCTTGACAGGATATGCAATTGTTATTTTGTCTTCTACAAGTTGGTCTATGCCAGGAAATCATACTTCTAGAGAAGACTAGACTTGCTACTATATATGTAGTATAATTAATACCATGAATATTAATTCATATATTCATAAATTCATAATTATGTATTAACATTGTATAAAAAGCAAAAGTTTAGTAATAAATAGTTAATTATCCTTTAACAATGGACCAGTTGATGAACAACTACATTTTGGCAACAAAGATGAGATTCTGATAACTGTAAGTTCTAATAAGTTTAATAACAAATAGCTTAAGAATTGAACGCCATTGAAGAGTAACTCGTTGATCTTCTGGGATGTAAGAATATCTCGGACGACATTGTAATTTCTGGTAAGCATCAGAGTGAACACGATTGGAATTTACATGCTGTTCTAACAAGACTCAGTAAGGTTTAATGTTCTCCTAAATGAAGTAAAGTGTGTTTTTCTCAGTCGGAAATCAAGTTCTATTGTCATATGTTCAGTGCTCAAAGAATCGAACCAGACAGAGAAAAGATCAATACAATTAAAAATATAAAACCAGCACAGAGCGAAAGTGATGTCAAATCACTCCTTGGAATGATACAATATGTTTCCCGTTTAACACAAGACTGTCCCACAATAACAGTTCTGTTATGAGAATTGACAAAAAAGTTCAAAATGCATATAAAGAAACAATGAGCAAAAACCCTTCACCGCTTAAAAAGTGAACAAACTGGAGATTGCGTAATGACCTATTTTTATCCTTTCAAGAAAATAGTAATCATTGCAGATGCCTACCCTACTGCAGTAGGCATTGCAGGAATATTGCTACAATATATATAATAGGTAAAGTTATTAGTTAGCGAGCCGCGCTCCTAGTGCAGCAGAGAGAGATGTTTGCAAACAGAGCGAAAAATGTAAGCGGCGGTATGGGCAGCAAAACATTTTCACCTCTACGCTTATGAGAGATCACAAACCACTTCTTGGTATATTAAATAGTAATAAGCCTCAGTCATGTCGAGTTGAGAGACGGAATTACCACTCATGCCCTACAAATACGAATTGACTTACCCCCCAAGAAAGATTAAAAAATCCAGCAGATTCTATAAGTTGACATCCAGTTTTAGAGTATTCCACAACAAATATAGCAGAAGAATATATCAATTATCTTTGTTATAATGCAGTACCCAACGACACGAAATTAGAAGAAGTGCCGATGGAAACCCAGAGATATTGAACGATGCAAGCTCTGGCTAAAAAAATTGAAACAGGAAAATGGTGTGATACAGATATCAAAGAGTACGTTAATGTGAAAGATGAAGTATCTGCTCACAATGGGATTATCTAGAGAGAACATCTTCTGGCAATCCCACGTTCACTGCAAAAAAAGCGAGTTAATTAGCACATATTGGACATTAAGGTATCGTAAAGACCAAAAGACTCCTAAGGGAGAAGGTATGATTTCCTGGCATAGACCAACTTGTAAAAGACAAAATAACAACTGCATATCCTGTCAAGCATCTTCAGGAAACTCAACCCTCCACATCCTCCAAAATGACTAAGCTACCATCTGGTCATTTTTGGATACTTTAAACAACATTTTCCAGGAAATACAAAAGCACAGAAAATCAGGTTTCACAAAAAACTGGTGGTTTGAGCTTACAAATAATCATTTTTCGAGAAAAAGTGTTACAAAAAACTTAGAGTTTCGCTTAACATTTCAGTTTTTTCCTTCAAGAACAAATGCATAAATAAATGTAGATTATTGAAAGAAATTTTTGAATACCTTGCTCACGTTTTAAAACTGTGCATTTCAATTGCTTTTTCCATGTGTGCAAGCTATTTCAAAAGTGCTTCTCCGTAACATAATTTTCACTCTAAAAATGGTTATTAAAACTTTTATTCTTGATTTCCGACTGAGAAAAAACACACTTTACTTCATTTAGGAGAACATTAAACCTTGCTGAGTCTTGTTAGAACAGCATGTAAATTCCAATCGTGTTCACTCTGATGCTTACCAGAAATTACAATGTCGTCCGAGATATTCTTACATCCCAGAAGATCAACGAGTTACTCTTCTATGGCGTTCAATTCTTAAGCTATTTGTTATTAAACTTATTAGAACTTACAGTTATCAGAATCTCATCTTTGTTGCCAAAATGTAGTTGTTCATCAACTGGTCCATTGTTAAAGGATAATTAACTATTTATTACTAAACTTTTGCTTTTTATACAATGTTAATACATAATTATGAATTTATGAATATATGAATTAATATTCATGTATTAATTATACTACATATATAGTAGCAAGTCTAGTCTTCTCTAGAAATGTTTTCTGAAGTAAATCAGCATATAGTTTTTGGAATAGTCTTTGCAGCCTATTTCACTTCCGCCACTTACAAGAAGTCATACACACGGCATTCTTTCTCCGTTAATCATAAATCTTGATAGCAGAACTCTCTCCAATTCCACAAGACGAACTTATTTGGTGGAGAGATAACCTTAAGGCTAAGTTGAATTTGAAAGGTTCTTGAGTCCACATCTCTACATTTGATAATAGAGTCTTTGATTTTAGCAAAGTCTTTAAAGAAGTTCCAACAACTATAAAAGAAATTAATTGAAGCAAGGCGCGAGGAACAAAATTTTCCATTCTAGCGCATTTGGCAGCAGAGTTGTCAAACTGGTGTTAAGAACACCATGTCCTCAGAAAGGCTAAATACAATCATGGTTTGAGAGTGGCAAGATATCCGGAGACATTTTAGACTATGCATAACACTTCTAAGTAATTATGAATAACTGAGCTATACTTCCGTTTCATTACTTAATATATTTGTATAACATTGTATCTATGAAAACGTCCTATTCGCTTTGAACCGAAGATTGCATAAAGCATGCCAAAAAATGTTCGCTTCAAATAAAAAAGAAAATTGTCGGCTGCTTAAAATGTCTAACGACTCTTGTGCTACAACAAAATTATGGAAAACATCATGCATACCAGAAATACCAAAATTTTAAAAAATTGTTCATGTGTTTAAATTATGTAAATTATCTATGCTTGTAATTCATATATGAAGAGTATGTATGTTCGGAGAGTCATTAATAAGAATACAAGAAGTTTCGGAAAGTTTTTGATTGAGAAAATATCCATTGAAATGCGTTGTAGGAGAAAATTGTTTCTCCCATTTCTTCTCTGTATTGTAATATTTTACTGCCACCTTTGGATGAAGCTGCCAAATAGACGAAACAAACTCGCACGTTCTGGTATTTATTCAATTGAATCCTTCAACGGATATAATTTTGAAATGATACGAAGCATGATTAGAGACGTCTTTGTCAGAAACATACGTATTTATATCACTGAAGACCCACACTCTGCAAAGGAAATCATCGATATTGTAAATATAACAACAAACTTTCCAACAATAATTGATGTTTCAAAAGCTAACCAGCTTGCTCCTGAAGTATCAAAGAAATATGTATATGTACATTATATGTTTAATGATCAACTATCAATGAATACACGATCATTCTTAAGTCTCTGTGCGCAAGCGGGACGAAGTAAAAGATACGTGGTCAAACCTTTCGTTAAACACACAAAATTAGGTTCTGACGAGTCTTGGTTGGATTTTGAATGTTATTATAATATTGATTACATGAAGGACTTGCTCATCGCGAGTAATTACGCTGGACTGGTAAACAAGGACGAATATATTCGCGAATGTCCAGCTGAAGATCCCGATCATGTAAGCATACACTTCATTGACAATTCTGAAAGCTCAAAAAATGTACTTCACTCTAAGTTTCACGTAAAAGACGATAATATTCGTAAAATTACAGCCAATGCTTATCAGCATGGATGGACCGAGTGTAACTTTCTCGACAAAGCTATGAGTCGTGCGCCTGGTAGACAATACTGTGTCCATTCAGCGGTGATAACAGACTGGAAAAAACTTGAAGAAGAGATTGTAAAAGAACACAAATGTCTTAACGTATTTCATTGGAGAGGGATTTATGACGACTCTTATCGATTAGAATTCTCGGAAGATGATCTTAAATTCACGTCAAAGGATCTTACCTATGCTTTACGTACAGGAATTGCTGTTGAAAATCAAGTAAAATATGTCGCTAACAAGTTTCTTGATAGCAGTTACATAGCTGTTTATGTGAGAGGCGAGTATATACTTCGAACTAGAAACATGGATTATTTAAGAAAATGCATTGACATGGTCCTTAATGTAAGTTTTTATCTCTCTTTTTTTTTAATTTTTAATTCATTCTTTAAAATATGACCCTGAAAATTTTGAAAATGACGTACTGTATAACTGCATCCGCTTTTATCTTGGCAACCTGTACGCACGCTACCCTCCCTATAATACAAACCGACCGTTTTACATTTTATATTGATCTTTAAGACTTAACTGCATGTAGCATAAACAATCTATTTGCAAGAAAGACAAGCAAAGTTCTTTGCTTTTAGCCTGAGCCTACTAACGATACTTAAAACTAAAAAAGATATCAAAAAATTGCCAACTCTGCAATTCATTGCAATCATCAATTACATTTTTTTGTTTCCGTAATTTTTGAAATTAGAGCTCGTGTTTGTATGGCGATTACTACTAGTTTCATAGTATTTTGAGATAACATTGCACCTTTTTATGGATATAAGTGCATGAGTAATAATTGATCTTGACAGAGTAAGGTTTCCATCCTTCAGACCTCTCCTCCTATCCACATTCACTTGGTGAAGGCAGTTCCATTGTAGGAAAATTTAATTCACCCGCCATCATATCCCTTGGGACACTGCACGTTTAGTGTGTTCGTGAAATGCGCCGTTAGTTGAAGGAATGGCATCAAGAGTCCTTGCTTTCTGAGCAAATAGTTCTTGGCGTGCTTCGTTGACGGTGGTTTTTGTACTTGTAGTGTGGTATATTAGTACGACATTCCTCTCCAAATTTGTAGTGTTGCCCGTGATGTTTATAAAGATTAAAAAGATATGCTATTTCTGCCTCTTGGCGATCCGATAATGCATTCTGAAAACTGCTCAAATTAAAGTAAGACTGTGGCAATAATCTCGATGGAAGATGCCCTAAGACTGTGCTGAAAAAATCGGCAAATATCATTAATGTATTTGGTGCTGATAGCAAGAGTGCAGCTTCAACCTCTGCTGCAAAACCTCTGAATGAAAGTATTCTAATAGCTTCAGTTATTAATGCGGCAATCTGGGCAAAACCTACAAGGGTTGGAAAGTTTCATTCAGTTCATAAGAAGCCATTGTAAACTACCCGAATAAATTATTAAAGCTACTATATTTAGCATGGAATAAGTTTACTCTTCCATTGCACAATTGGCTCTGTTATGTTAGTAGTACGAAAAAAATAATCTATTTTACATGTTGCTCACGGTCATTGCTGTAAAGTCCCAACACATGTCTCCTTAGTGACGAAGACCAATGACGAAGTACAATTTGAAAATTAAAGGAGACTTTCTTTAAGTTGAAGTAAAGAACGGAGGAGTCACGTGCCCTTCCAGTTACGAATTTGAATAAGTCTCGCCCTCCCTAATATTGATCTTATGGTAAATTGGTTTAAAAAATTAATTCCAGCATTAAGAAATGCGCTAGCTCGTATGTCAAATAAATACAGAATTAAAAGCGATTATCCATTTTACTCTATGCATTTATACGACTATCACTAAGCGAAATAAAAATAAACTTTTGAAAAATTTATACACAAAAGCTACATTAAAAAATACAAATGACAATTTTAACATTTTTGAATTCTTAAAAAGTGGGATTTATTGCTTTGGAATAATGGAAATCAAATTTCGGTAATATCGTGTTAGTTGTTCTAACAAGTAGAATCAAATATAAAAAAAGACTACCAACGTATATATAAGCCAGTGTTTCATTCCTATATAAAGGAAGGAAGAAGTTTTTTTCAAATCCCTGAAAATAAAAACTTTTGTATTTCAATTACTGAATTTTCCTGTCCGTTATTGTAACTGTTAAAAGATCTGCTTCGGAAAAAGCTATAAGTTTCTTATTGTTTGGAATATGATGTGATTATGTAGAAATAGCTCGGTAGCTGTTGGAGATTACCTCCCTTTTTAAGTTCGCATATCACGATTCATAAGAAATTACAACTGAATTTAATAGTGGATGTGGTATCAAATGACAAAAGCATTGGTTAGGATAACGTTAGACAAGCTTAGTCCAATCAGTCCAATGTAAACTTTAGATTCTTTCGATAATCTTCACTATCGGTCTTCTTTGATTCTTAAATGTTCTCTAATAAATTCTCGTGCGTTTAGTTTAGGTTACATTGGTTTTATTTAGACAAAATTACATGGACCTTATTGCGTATTTCGGAAAAAAATGTTAAGAAAAAATTGTTAAGTCATCTAAACGTATAAAGCTACGTGCAAACGGCTGAACATGTTGACTCAACATGCACTCAACATTGTCTTGCTCTTGTTATGTGAAGTTTAGCGGTGTGTGCAAACTCTCTCAACTTTATGAGCGAATGCAATTGTAGGTATATATTTTTCTTCATTTTTTTAGATTTTAAATCTTGTAAAGGAACAAACACATTTATCTCGTGTATTCGTTGCAACTGATATGGGGAAGTATGGCTCGTCGTGGCTGGTCAGATATCAAAGACAAAAAAAATTAGATGAAAATGTTTTCAACGATCTGATTGATTATATTGTAGCGCAATCTCAAGCCATTACATACATTCCATCCTCTGACTCAGTAGATCGAGGTGTAATTGCACTTGCCGACAAAAAGCTTGTTGCCAATTCTCAATATCTGATCACAGCAGGAAATGGAACATTTCAAGAGTGGGTGGAAGCAACTTTTTTGGAATATCATCGCTATGATAAAAGGCTTGGTCCATAATCACAGTTTGTAATAATTATGAAACGTAAGCCCGCAAAACTCTTTTTCATGCATTTGGTATATTATTTCATTTTTTTGTTTATAAAGTTCAAATCACCCCTTTTCAAAGTCCGCCATGCTTTTGTGACATACGTATATGAGCATATTGCAATTCATTCCGTTTGACTACTTCTTACTCAGTACTTATGTTCCATATCTGTAAATACAACTAAAATCCATGTATTTATTTCTGTTACTTCGATTTTTTGCTGTTAGTTTTGATTTTAGAATTGAATTGGAGAGTGTACTCAACCTGAAATATTGACTGCAAAATGCCGTGTTCCGGCTCAACCGTTGGTCTTCTATCATTCCTTCGTTATACAAATGATATTTTAAATTCATCCGTCGTATATTTTAAATTAGATTATTCGCCAGCGATTACCAGTGACGCGGAGCATTATGAAAGCCATAAACAATAAGTGCTTTTTTATTTACACAAGCTAACTGCATTATTACTAAGACATATAGACGTAAAACAATTTAAAAACTCTCTTAATTAGCATCAAAAGGTGTTTAGAAAGCGGATTCCGCTTCACCTCTCGCGAAATTACAATATTTCTTTATTAATTTGGCAAAACAGCAAAGTATTTTTCATGACCAGTAGGTAATTTTTTAATGATCATTATAATTTCTAAACTAAATTAATTCAAGTTTACATTTAAATGAGCTTTGATCATATGTAAATGTATTTATCATAACCAATAAGCATGACACATGAACCAATTTTAACATTCATGTAATTATATAATGTTTGAATGGGGTCTCTAGGGGGCTCTATGCCTAACAACTTGGTAGAAATTTTTAAAGACAATATCTTTTTTGGAATAGCATTATTGCAAAAATAAATTTTATGTTCCTAGCCATGGTAATGAGAGATATATTTGGTATGATAATGAGCCTAAATATTTGGCAAAACATTCAAGTATATTTCACTTCTTTTCTTTTTTGAAAAAACGTTGCCCACAAAATACATTTTGTATTGCTCTAAAAGGCTGAAAATGGCATTTCCAATGCTCGGAAATTCAAAATTTCCCTGGGAGAAAGCTTCGGACTCTTCCCAGAAGCGGATCGCATCCGCGTTCCATGACTGATGTTTGAAAAATCCTACATCCGCCCCTGGTAGGGAGTTCTAATCCGCTGCGACATTTGCATACAAAGTCAATGTTGTTAAATTTTTTTACTCTTGCTTGGAAAAAATAAGCCCTTAATAACTGAGCTCGAGGTCTATATGGAGAAATATGGCACCGAAATTTTTTTGTACAGCCCGAGCCCGTAGGGCGAGATTTCTACAAAATAACAGAGGTCCGATTTTTCTCAGTAAAGACTGAGAAAGTGAGGTTATTAAAAGGTTTATTTTATGGCAATATTTGACCTTAAATGGAGCTTGTCTTCTTTCTCGTCCTTGCTGTTTTTTACTGGTTGGCTTTCACTTTTCTAGTTTTCGTTTATAAAAATAATTGTTTCAAACTGTATCGTCTGCATAGTTAAACTCTTTTCCAAGTGTTTTTTTTCTTCGAGTCAAATTCGTAAATGGTTTTTGACCAGCGGTAATGCTATGGGATCATTCTCGTCAACAACACCTAACTCGGCTTGACCGAGCTCTTGAGCATCGCCTAGACGGATGTAATACAGACAATATAATAGAAGTTTAATTACATATTTTGGGTTTCTTTCGAGACCGAAGGTCGAGAACTTGTTCAAAAGTTCTTCCAAACGTCTACGAGGTTTGCAACTTTGCATAAGCCAGTGCCAACAGGATAAACGTCTTTTATTTCTTTTATAAAACAACAGTAATGCGAAACAGCTAAATTCAAAAGAAACGTCTTAATTAATCCTCTAACATGCATTGATGATTGATTAGCAAACGCTCTTTAATACATGTATGAAATTAACTGAGCTGCAGTGATTGAGCTAAGATAGGTTAGTACAGGCTAATGCAAACAGATCAATCAGTGCACAGATTTTATTATTGTCATTCTACAATATATGATATTGTTTATATGAACCCGAATAGTCTGTCTATGTTCTTTGAACACATTCGCTCTTATTACAGCTTTATTAAACTTGGGATTAGTAAAAACAGTCCAATCACTTTTGGCATTTTTGATGAAGAAGCTAGAAATACATAAGTACTTTTTATTTAAAAGGTACGAAAACATTGAAAAAAATTCATTATATTTTTCTGCTTTGAAGATATATGATTCTTAGATCAAATTAAAACAAAAATTTAACAGCTTTCTACAGTTGTATAGTTTGACTAGACAATGGCTGTTTTAATTGAACATGAGTAATTATTGAACATGTCGTTAAAAAATATTCCCAACGCTCCATAGCAGAATAGTTAATCCTCATACAAAGTAGCATTGCATTGAAAAGTCACCTATGCATTGAAAAGAAAGAGATGGTACGCCTTTGTCATATCAAGTTTCCAAGCGTAAGTAGCGACATATCCCAATATGAAGTTGTCCATCCATGTTATTTGTATTCTAATTGATACATCACCATTATTTGAAGACTGAGTACTATAAAAAACTCATCAAGAGATATCTAAAAAAACAAAACTACAAAACTTTACATCATGCACGAGTGTGGATAATGTATAACAAACACAAGGACAAACTTTTGTCATATCTTTATTATGTAATGTATTAACAATTTTGCGTCTACTTCTTGTTTAATAAATTAAAATGACAAACGAAGTCAGTTGTCATTACATAACGTTTTAACCGTAACTATGATGTTATGGAATTAAGTGCAATCTTGTGATGATAGCTATTATCTTCTAACAATAACTATGGTGTTTTAACGGTAAGTATAATGTTGTCACTGTAATAAACATTATGTGGCTGTAACTGTAATTTTATTCTAAAACTGACAACATACAGTTTTTAGTGTAGTAAAAGTGCTTCTAAACATGTCATTTTCCCATATTAAAGTAACTGAAAGCCTAATAGCTTTAAGATCAAACTTCGTAAATCTGTTCATTTCGTTCCCATCCTGCACGAATTTTCTTTACTCGTTTATCCAAGCAAGGCAGCAACAATATAATCTTTAAAACGATGATGGCGTATCCGATAATGACAGTCAAAATGGTGGGATAGAAAAAGATCTCCAATTTCCATCTAATAATACCTTCGTAAGCATAGATTGTAAAATGAAGTAGAGAAAATATCAATGAAAAGTAACCCAAACCAGATTGAACAAAATTCCACTCTCTCCAACTCATGCGATTAAGAACAGTAGGAAGTGACGTTATACCCAAAATAGACAAAGCTGACAGACCCAAGACTCCAAGCGTCAAGAAAGCTTCGCCTTGTGCAGTCATTCGTCCATAAACACGAACTGTTACGTTGTTGATATGAATGGACCTGTCTTGATAAACTCTACGATTATATTCAGGACCCCAATAAAGGGTTGACATACAACCATGCATTGCAGCCAGTAACAATGCCAGCAAACCAAGTTGTTTACGAGCTTTCATCCAAATATCAAGCCACTTTGGAAAACGACGATACTTGGTACCTTAAAATAAAGTATTTCTGATGTGAAAAAAATTTTTTTAATTTTAAATATGAATGCTTAATTGCGTTATATATCACAATGATAAACAGAATATTTGTATAAATGTTTATTTGTTAAATATATAAACTTGCGACAGCATAAAAGAATAGAACATCAAAGTTAAAATAGAGCTGCATCTTATTAGTAACGGCCATCCTGCGCATATAAATTAATATAAATAACCGTACATATAGGAGTTAAGTAGATTATTATTTCATAATTTAAACACAAGCAATACTAAAATGTTTAGGAAAAAATTTAAATTTGCCTACCCTCAAATTTATTTGACTAAATGAAACGACTGCAGTTTAATGTTAATTTAGAAGTTACCGTAAATTAGCTGCAAAATAGCTGCAATGCATCCTGGGAGATAAACCATATCCAAAAGTCCAATCACAGTGAACGCGTTCATTAGACTGACACTTCGTAATGGAAAGTTGGTAAAGGGAAACTTTCTTATTACTCGAATCAACACAAAAAACAGCAACATAATCAAATATAGAATTCCAAACATAATCATCGCTACTCGCCAACTAGGAAACAATTCCAATGGCTTTCCTTCAATAGCTTGAGAAACCTGTAGTGATCCTTGGTCAAACGGGATAAACTGCATTGTTCGAGATATTTGCATAACCTAAAGCAAAACGATAAACCCAAAATCCAACTTCACTCTCAAGAAGAACTTTAATATCTTTTAATTTTGTGACTTAAATCTTATGTAATTTTTACGTCTCGTTATTGGGCGCCAAAGGCATTATAAATAATGCGTTATCCAAAGTATTTTAATCTTGTTGAAGTGAACTATATGCAATATAGCATCTATGTAAACGTTCATTTACATATTTGCATACATACATTACTTTTTAATATCACGAGAGAAAGAGAAAATGGTTCCATTGAAAATAACAGACTAATACTCACAATAAAATATCTTATATGAGAAATCATTAATCTCTACATAAACACGATGATATGAAACAAATATGAACTGGCTTTTGAGCCAAAAGTGCTACAAATAAAACACACTATTACAAAAATTTCCCAACCGACTATAACTCAAGAAAAATCTCCAAAGAAGTGATATTCAAGGGATTTGACATTTACTGTAAGATATAGTTACATTGCATAGACGAACATCAACAAGCATTAGTACTAATAAATGTACTCAAGGTGCAGCTTTTTTTTAACATTCAAAGGTCACAAAGCCTCATGATTACGAACGTCAAACAAACTGTTTCGGAAAGTTACGCTTTCAAATATACAAAATTATCTTAAGACGAAATCACCACTGGCCATTTGACAGTTTTTGGTCTAATCTTCGCCAAGATCCATTATAACTACTCAATTCTCAGAACGAATGGGGCTATGAAAAAATACTAGCACGACTATTCTGCACACAAGTGGCAACTGGTTCCATGTTACTTTTTGCATTGTGCATTATTTATAGTTCTTTATTATTGTATTAGACAAATTAGCGCAGCCATGTATTAACCGTACGGATTTAAACTTGATTTTTGTCTCTGCCATGTATCAAAAAATTTACTTTTGAATATCTCTACGCTAAAGTTGTCCTTTCCCTTGCTGTTTGACACACGTCCCTGAAAAGTTGCTAATAATGGAACATTTACACTTTTTAGCTTCAGCATTGTCTACAAATGTAAACAGTCCGACTTCCTCCATAAATATCTTGTTCCAATGCCCATGCAGATATCACATTGAAGCCTTTCACAACGTGAGCCTTAGGTATTAGACTGGATAGGTACTCAGCATTTGATAATCCTCTGAAAGAGGTCTGCGTTTGATTGCTTACGTCGACAACAATCTTTCCTTTTAATAAAAATTAAGTACAATACCTTTGGATAGGTTAAATTTCTTTGAAGGAGAATTTGATTTAATTACAGGCAGACTAAATTGCAGCAGGCGTCTATTCGTAAGATTTTTGATCGAAAGACTGTTAGTTACTATGACACTATTGACCAATACGTCTGAAAAATAATCAATAATTGCGAATCAATTATTCTGTACAATGTTCCAAACCATTTTTATGATCTTCATGCCAATCCTGAAAAACTGTGTTAAGATAATTTTTAAAAATTGAAGTCGATACAAACCATTTAGTTGGCTGCCCGATGATGCCACCAAGCTATCATATCCATGCATGGGAATAGCAAAAAAGATGATGCCAGAATGCTCTAAAGCATCATTTATGGATGCAATGCTGAACGATGACAGATGTGGCAATCTTCGACTTCTTTCAGGATTCCGGCTTCCCATAATGACGTCATAACCAGCCAAAGATAGTCGCTTCGTTAGTGCACGACTAAAGTCACCTGTACCCAACACCGTCAATTTTTCTTGTGGTCTGTTCTCTGCAGCAACCATGATTCTTGCCATCTCAATATGTTATCAGCAATTGGATTAATATTGTCTATGGTTAAAATATCAAAAATAAATAAACCGTTTTATAATGCCTCACAATAACACTACTGTATTATTGAGATGATTAAATAATAAGATTACGAATTCAAACACGTAATAAAGTATTCTAAATTCAAAAATATAATAGTAACTACTACTTAGTACAGGAAAAAACTGAAAAAATATACGCAACTGAAAAAGAAAACAAGAATTTTGAAATCTTGTAGATTTTACACGCAGTGGCATAACAATGCGTCATGCTCGTGCAGTTCTTTCATTGTAGATAGTTACTTTTTTCTACTGTGGTAAAAATTGTGTGATTTATTTCTTAGGTATTTAACGTATCAAATGTGTAAACAAGTCGACAATATCCATCAGTTACAAATCAGGGCAATTATTACGTAGCTTTAAGCAAACAATATTGTCGTCATTCGTGTCATTTTTAATCGTAACTGTCTCATGGCAATGAAATATCTATTTATAATACAGGATCCGGTCTTTCTTAAAAAATTGTACGTCTTGCAAACCTTCCTTGCACTGGAGATTATTGTTTAAGCTATTACGATATCAATGGCAGTTCTTGAAAGTTCATAAATAATGCTAAAATTTCACCAATGTGGGTTGAAAAGCAGATTATTTAGTGAAATTGAAAGTACTTCACTCTCTATAATTTATTGAAATTCTCATATATTTTACTGATTTTAAATGTTTTTTATGCCATGGTAAAGTACTTTTTGTATTATAATATTTAAAATATTTTTTGTCAATTGCAAAGTAGGTATAACTTGCAACTTGAAAAAAATGGAAATATAATCATTTTATTGACCCCTAGTTATTTATGCGACGATATCAAAGAGTCCAAATTTAGAAACACTTTAGAAGTACTGTTTTTATTATATTACAGCATTGCTCAAGAACTAAGAAGATTATTCCTGACTCAAAGGACGATGTGAAGTAACTGTACGTGGAAATATTTTTTTGAAAAACACACAAAAGTTGAATAGATATTACTAGAAAACATTTATGGTCCAATTTTTAGAGGAGTAGAACTAATTTTAAAAATCATTAAAGTTTTAGGAAGTTAATAATTTTTTACGCATTGTATCGCTTACCTAAATACGTTGATATTGTCTTTCTTCCTTCAATAATCATGTGTAAATAACTTAGACTTTTAATATCACCTATACATTAATAAATTGCAACGTTTTGATTTAATTTGATTAATTTATCTGTGTTACAAAGAGGCTTGACTGCAAATATTAATGGTTCCATTACTCATGCGATTGTGACATTACCATTTCGAGGTGTCTATAGTCAGATCAATCTTTCCACTTATATATTTATTTATATGTATGGCTATGTATTTTGTTTTTATTGTTTTAACTCATAGCTAACAATCAATTCAATCCTTTTAGACAGGCATTTTTATGCACAACAAGACTTACGTAGCTTGTAATACATTGCAAGGTAAACAACTGATTTAAATTTGACATGATTTGCGAAATCCTTACCTTTAAGATACTCATTAAACAACAGATACTTTAATAGTTTTGATAACTATTCTTTTAATCCCGCTTCCAATTTTCGCTTGCCAAATACACAGTTTAATAACATGTACGAGCAGCTAAAACGTCTGGTGAATTTTGTAATGTTAATTATTATACTGCGTTGCAAACATATTTCTATCCTGCTGTGATGTCTTGTTAAGATTTCGCAATTGCTTGCCCTGGTTATTTCACAAGGTAAACAAATGATCCCTTATTTGCCAATTTTTCCCTAATTTGGATAGTATAATTTAACCGAGAATTAGATTCGGATTACCAGTTCAAAAAACTGTCAATCTTGTGGGTTTTATGAGGTAGCATAGCCAGCCTGCAAGTTTAGTCATGCTATTTAATCCCTAGCATGACTTTCATTTCGACTGCGTTTGTTTGAGTTAATTATATATTAAATACCACTAAATCATGCAAATTCTAAACGTGTTGATTTTAAATGTTGAAGTTTTTGCACCCTGTATTAATTTATAATCGAATAGGTCTGTGATGAGGGCGACTGTCAAATGCTTTGAAGTGCATATTCTTGGAGCAAGTACGTTACATCGCAATGTTTGACGATTTTAACAAAGGATTTTTCTTATTTACAATGCAAATGTCATGGAATATAGCGAACACTCCATTGTTCTCCTATTCCTAGTGGAATGGTTGCACAGTAGCCATACAAAGCCAATCATGGTTTTTGTTAAGCCAAATGTCTTTTTTGACAAATTTTCCATTTGAAATCGATGTCTTGAGATTTACCTAGCAATTGCATTTGAGCACGCCGATTGAATTAGACAATGGCATGGTTGAGTACAGAAAGCAAAGGCCTTTATATAACTATCAAATTATCATATACGTGTTATGTCGCTCGGTTAAAAATTTCATAAAAAAATTGCTACCTTAAAATACGAGGGTCTAAACTTAACATAACATTCCGTGGTGCGTTGGGACTTAACTATTCTTGATTTATTTCCAGGTGAATACTATAAGTGCAATCCGTTTTCATATCCTTCTATCTAGCAACCATGCACTCTTTTAAATCGTTTTTCTTACCCTTGTCGATTTTCAGATGTGATTGGCAGATTTGGGTTACCATTTCTGAGTTGTGTATGATTGCAAATACAATCATTGACTTCATCTATAATCATCATAAGCAGAAAGTTACAGAATGGAATTATGATCTTTTAAGCAGGGGCGGATCTAGGATTTTTCAAACATCAGTCATAAAACGTCGGAGGCACTCCGCCGGGGTCTGAGGCATTCTCCCTTGAGAATTTTGAATTTCAAATTCTAAAATGCCATTTTCAGCGTTTTAGGCAATACAAAGATGTATTTTGTGGGCATCGTTTTCGGTAAAAACAACACATTTTGCTTACGTTTTCGAAAAAAATGAAGTGAACAATACTTGAATGTTTTGCCAAATATTTAGGCTCATTATCATGCCAAATATATGGCTCATTAGCATGTCTAGAAGGCATAAAATTTATTTTAAAATGCTATTCAAAACAGATATAGTCTTTAAAAATTTCTACCAAGTTGTCAGGCATGGACCCCTAGAGGCCCCATTTAAACCTCTATGTAATAAGTTAAGTTAAATTTGGTGCTACAAGTGACAGTTCATAAATAAAGAAACTCAGACTTCAAACCATGCAAGTTTATTGTAACCCTTTACCCATCTCACATCAGAGCCAGCAAATTCACTTTTGAAAAAACTCAAAATTTTTCTGTCAAGATTAAGAAAATTATCAAAGTGAAAAATTGCAGTTAAGGACAGCTTAATGCCATGAATGTTTCTTAGGCATTTCACTAGACTATTATCTTCTGTAAGTATATGCAAGGTGTGCTATATAGCAATCACTAGTAGCATTGTATTTGCAAATACAAACAGAATGTAACAACAACATGTCTTTAATTATATAATTACATGAATGTTAAAATTGGTTCATGTCATGCTTACTGGTTATGATAAATATCTTTTCATATGATCAAAGCTCGTTTAAATGTAAATCTGAAATAATTTAGTTTAGAAATTATACTGATCATCAGAAAAATTACCTAGTGATCATGAAAAATACTTTGCTGCTGTTTGCCAAATTTCAAGGTTTATCTGCATACATTGGAAGACATTTTACTTTATAGAAAATGCTATTCATACATCAATAGCCCTTTGGAATTTATGGCAAACAATCTGGTATGAGCCGTAGATTACACCTTTACATCTCTACATGAGGTGCTCAGTTACTAAAGGGGACAATATGTGACATGGGGCAACATTTCATGTATGTGAATTACTCAGGTTTAATACCATTCTACTCAAATTGTCAAAATAAAAAGCTTCATGGATCTGAAAAGACTAAAAATCACAGGTTATAGTAAACAGTTTCTCATGTAATCAATGTTAGTTTTATCAAATCTTAAACAATATGTAGTATAACTGTCCAATGATTGAATGATGAATGATCGTAAACTGAAAATCCCCAAACATTTGTTTATAGTATGGTAAATAATAGCATGGCACCTTATGGCTACAGATATTTTGTCCATTGAAATACATTTGAAGGAATGTGGGAATTCGATGCCATAAAACGGCCACGATTCCCCAAGCATTAAAGAAATCATAGCTAAAAGTCCTTCGGCAACAACAATTTTAGAAGCATCAATCTGCTTACCATACGCCATATTAACATAAATCGCATCACACACTCGCATTAATTGACTTTGATATATTGCATTCATGCATACACTTCACTTGTCCTTCTTACGATTTTCGATGTAAATTTCTGCTGATAAAACTCAAAACAATGTTGGCTTGCTTTTGAACATCAATGACTGAAATGTCGCTCGCGAGATCGTCTTTGCCAAGCATTTACAATTCATCCATAAATTTTCACCCTCTTGAAAAAAGTTCCCAGTTTGAAAGCACCTTCATGTCAACATATGAATTTGTAAAGATTTCCATAAATTCCATCTGATTGTAGTTTAGTTTCTATCATGCTGAAATTACTATGAACGATCAAACATTCAATTCAGACAGTGAGCTTGACTATGTTAGTTCAGTTGGCTATCAGTCGAAATCGGTCAAACCAATCACAGTAAGACAAAAATTCAAATGAACCAATTGTAAGATAGCAATTGGACCCTATAGGTCCGCCACCCTATTATCGGTCGAGATTATTCCAGACTGTCCACTGATCTGGCCATTGACCAATAAAATAGCGTTTCTAGCGTTCATAGACTCCTTTATTAGTCGAACCAGTCAAGCCACCCCGCTTATCAGTCGGTTATTCCAGGTCAAGTAAAATTCAACTGATCTGGTTACCAAGGAGATATTCGTTGCATTAGTCATTAGTTTTCAATAATAAATAAAGCTGGATTTTTATCACGAAGTAAATGCGATAATAAAGTAAGAATAATTAATGATTTTTAATTAATATGAATAGGTAGTTTTTGAATTTCAAACATCAGTCGCGCGACGGATTTGACATACTCTAGATCCGCCCCTGCTTTTAAGATTAAAAAATCTACAGGTTGATGCCTATACAATCCATGAAAAAGGAGCACCTTGCGAAATTGCTTTTGGCTATATTGATGGAACGGTCAGACCAATTTCACGGCCAACAAAACATCAGCGAATTGTTTACAATGGCCAACAAAACATCAGCGAATTGTTTACAATGGCCACCAAAAAGTTCATTCTTTGGAGTTCCAGGGTGTGGCATTGCTAAATGGTTTGATTGCACATATTTATGATCCAGTTGGTATACTTATATTAATTAAATGAAAATCATACTATATTGTACAAGTAAAAACAGTCTATAACACCAGCAAATACTTTTTATATTACAGAAGGAAAAAAACATGATGCTAGTATGTTGGATGACTCAAACTTCCTTCAAGACCTAGAAAAATAGGCTTTTTCTCTGGATGGGAGACCATTTTGCATACATGGGGATCCTGCTTATACACAGATGATTCACCTACAAGCTCCTTTTGGCATGAGGTAATCACAGACAGAATGAAAATATTCAACAAGCAAATGAGCGAAGTCGGATTGTCTTTGGTATGGTTGTTTGTAAATGTGATAACTCATTCCGGTTCATGGACTTCAAAAAAAAACCCTCAAAATAGGTGTAAGTAGTGTTGGAAAAGCATATATTGTCTGTGCACTGTTAAGAAATTCACTCACTTGCATGTATGGAAATATAACATCCAGGTTTTTCAGTTAGATAATCCAACCTTGGAGAACTACTTTATGGCTAATTGATGAATGCCAAAATGAACAAAATATTTTAAACACACACACAACTAGCAAGTATATACCACGTTATGTAAATACTGAGAAGTGTAAATGAGAAAGATATTATGTTTCAAATAACAAAACATTAAAAATTCATAGTTACATAGATTACTAAAACACAGCAGTTAAGAATTCTTTCCTTGAAATTGACAACACGTACAATCTTACTTGGTTGTGAATGTCTGTATAATGTCATGAAATGCTGTTGACAAATTGCTGTTGTTGCTGAAGAAGTAAAGCTTGCCTCTATCATTTTTAGATTTTGTTGTTGCATCATTTTTAAGTTTTCTGTTTGTTGTTTGGCTGCTTGGGTACTCAATTTATTTTGTATTTCTTGCTCATTTCTTTTATTACTAGTTCTGCACGACGGATATCAATTTCCTCGCTTAATCTTTCTCTCATATATTCAACTAATTTACAACTTACTCGGCGTAGTTTCTTCAGCTTAACAGCTGAGTTTTACCCATCAGATTTTCTCTTGTTTGTTTCGCCCACTCGGTCAAAGGCTGTCAGCCTTGTCTCAATAGCATTTGCATTTTCCTTTTGCTTTTGAACTGATGCTACCTCAAGGAAGCTGTCCTCTTTTTGGCACAACTCTTCAATCAAACTTTCTTTCTCTGACAGCTCGTCGACATCAATGCCACTTGCTCTTTCTTCTCTTGAACTTAGCTTTTAAAGACTCCACCAGTGTTGAACACGTCTCTTATCTTTTAAAGTAAAGCTTCTACGTCACAAAGTTTTACGATTGTTATTTGTATTCTAATTGATACATCACCATTATTTGAAGACTGAGTATTATAAAAAGTCATCAAGAGATATCTAAAAAAACAAAACTACAAAACTTTACATCATGCACGAGTGTGGATAATGTATAACAAACACAACGACAAACTTTGTCATATCTTTATTATGTAATGTATTAACAATTTTGCATCTACTTCTTGTTTAATAAATTAAAATGACAAACGAAGTCAGTTGTCATTACATAACGTTTTAACCGTAACTATAATGTTATGGAATTAAATGCAATCTTGTGATGATAGCTATTAACTTCTAACAATAACTATGGTGTTTTAACGGTAAGTATTATGTTGTCACTGTAATAAAAATTATGTGGCTGTAACTGTAATTTTAAACTATAACTGACAACATACAGCTTTTAGTCTAGTAAGAGTGCTCTAAACATGTCATTTTCCCATATTAAAGTAACTGACAGCTTAACAGCTTCAAGCTCAAACTTCGTAAATCTGTTCATTTCGTTCCCATCCAGCACGAATTTTCTCTACTCGTTTATCCAAGCAAGGCAGCAACAATATAATCTTTAAAACGATGATGGCGTATCCGATAATGACAGTCAAAATGGTGGGATAGAAAAAGATCTCCAATTTCCATCTAATAATACCTTCGTAAGCATAGATTGTAAAATGAAGTAGAGAAAATATCAATGAAAAGTAACCCAAACCAGATTGAACAAAATTCCACTCTCTCCAACTCATGCGATTAAGAACAGTAGGAAGTGACGTTATACCCAAAATAGACAAAGCTGACAGTCCCAAGACTCCAAGCGTCAAGAAAGCTTCGCCTTGTGCAGTCATTCGTCCATAAACACGAACTGTTACGTTGTTGATATGAATGGACCTGTCTTGATAAACTCTACGATTATATTCAGGACCCCAATAAAGGATTGACGTACAACCATGCATTGCAGCCAGTAACAATGCCAGCAAACCAAGTTGTTTACGAGCTTTCATCCAAATGTCAAGCCACTTTGGAAAACGACGATACTTGGTACCTTAAAATAAAGTATTTCTGATGTGAAAAAAGCTTTTTTAATTTTAAATATGAATGCTTAATTGCGTTATATATCACAATGATAAACAGAATATTTGTATAAATGTTTATTTGTTAAATATATAAACTTGCGACAGCATAAAAGGATAGAACATGAAAGTTAAAATAGAGCTGCTCTCTAAGTGTTGTAAAATATTCTGTTAAGCCTGACTATGATTTTAAAATGTGCAATAATCGTGGAACTAAGCGCCTTTTGTCATTTATGTGTTGAAATTTTTTCAGAGATTGTGCATGATGACGTCTTATTAGTAACGGCCATCCTGCGCATACAAATTAATATAAATAACCGTACATATAGGAGTTAAGTAGATTATTATTACATCATTTAAGCACAAGCAATACTAAAATGTTTAGGAAAAAATTTAAATTTGCGTACCCTCAAATTTATTTGACTAAATGAATCGACTGCAGTTTAATGTTAATTTAGAAGTTACCGTAAATTAGCTGCAAAATAGCTGCAATGCATCCTGGGAGATAAACCATATCCAAAAGTCCAATCACAGTGAACACGTTCATTAGACTGACACTTTGTAATGGAAAGTTGGTAAAGGGAAACTTTCTTATTACTCGAATCAACACAAAAAACAGCAACATAATCAAATATAGAATTCCAAACATAATCATCGCTACTCGCCAACTAGGAAACAATTCCAATGGCTTTCCTTCAATAGCTTGAGAAACCTGTAATGATCCTTGGTCAAATGGGATAAACTGCATTTTCGAGATATTTGCATAACCTAAAGCAAAACGATAAACCCAAAATCCATGGTGTCCATTATTGAAATTAAATTCAGTGACTAAGATAACCAGAGGCGTAAGTAGAACGTTAATTGGAGGGGATGGTGCATATTCATATATTCCGTTGTGCCCTACTGATTTCTTTTGAAAGTGATTTGAATTTCAAAAGAATCAGTTGGGCACAAATGAATATATGAATATACACCCCCCCCAATTAACGTTACAGTTACGCCTCTGAAGATAACCCTTTTTTTACTACTATCATTTTAAAAAAGTTGTATGATACAATTGAATGGAACATTAATGATACAATTTTCTGAAGAAATAAATATTTAATGTATAAGTGCATTAGATAAAAAAAACTTTCACGATAGTATTGTCGACGACTGCAATGAAATTAAAAAAACAGGTTTTATGCTAGTCTGAATTAAAAAAATATTCTAAACAAATGCATTGTGATGATTGTATTACTATTACATTTAGATTATGGAAATTGTAATTTCTAATTCTCGCACTGTGCTTTAGACCATTTAAAGACGTCCGTGTTTTTAATTGAGGGTATAAAATATTCATTTTACTGACTTTCAATGGTTACATTTTAAAAAGGAGAGACACAGGTTATGGAGGCTTATCCGACCATCTTGCCCTTTTTAAGGTAAGCGAGGGCTTAGCAACAGTACCCCATTTATATGCCAGTTAAAGAAATTAAGCTCATAAGAATAGCTTCACAATAAATTGATTTAAAATAGGTGTACTGATTTTGAAACTTTACAAGCAATATTAAAACAATTTTTCAATTAGAAGATTATAGAAACTTGCCGTATTATCTATGTTAAACGTTCTATTCTTATGTAAAAATCGACAGAACAGCAATAATGACATTAAACGCGGAAGTAAGACAAAAAACTATGATATGCTGTTTCATGGGATGTTGTATATAGAGCAGGCTTTCGTGGAAGCAAGAGCTCCTTCTAGGAGGAATTACTAGTATTTTTGAATAGCCCATTGGTTCTGAAGAAATATGTTGATAAAAGTGGATTTGGGGATGAAAATTTTGACAAAAGGTCTTAGTTTATGCAGTCGTAAAAGTTATTTTCATTTCAAAAACCATCTTTTACAAACAGTTTGTTTGGCATGCATGTCGTTTAGGCTTTTGCGGTAACGACATTAACACTTTAGTAATTTTCGTAATATTGTTTGCGCTTTTCTGAAGATGAGCATCTTAAATGTGCAATGTTCTATGTTTAGATGAATTATCAAGAAGTTATTGCCATGAGCTACATAGCATTGCAAAACGTACACAAAAATCATATAGGAAAATAAAACTTCACTCTCAAGAAGAACTTTAATATCTTTTGATTTTGTGACTTAAATCTTATGTATGTTTTACGTCTTGTTATTGGGCGCCAAAGGCATTATAAATAATGCGTTATCCAAAGTATTTTAAGCTTGTTGAAGTGAACTATATGGAATATAGCATCTATTTAAACGTTCAATTATATTTTTGCATACATACATTACTTTTTAATATCACGAGAGAAAGAGAAAATGGTTCCCTCGAAAATAACAGACTAATACTAACAATTAAATATCTTGTATGAGAAATCATAAATCTCTACATAAACACGATAAAATGAAACAAATATGAACTGGCTTTTAGCCAAAAGTGCTACAAATAAAACACAATATTACAAAAATTTCACAACCGACTATGACTCAAGAAAAATCTCCAAAGAAAGTAATATTCAAGGGATTTGACATTTACTGTAAGATATAGTTACTTTGCATAGACGAACATCAACAAACATTAGTACTAATAAATGTACTCAAGGTGCAGCTTATTTTTAACATTCGAAGGTCACAAAGCCTCATGATTACGAACGTCAAACAAACTGTTTCGGAAAGTTACGCTTTCAAATATACAAAATTATCTTAAGAAGAAATCACCACTGGCCATTTGACAGTTTTTGGTCTAATCTTCGCAAGATACACGTATAACTTCTCAATTCTCCAGAACGAATACCGGGGCTATGAAAAAATACTAGCACGACTATTCTGCACACAAGTGGCAACTGGTTCCATGTTACTTTTTGGATTGTGCATTATTTATAGTTCTTTATTATTGTATTAGACGATTTAGCACAGCCATGCATTAACCGTATGGACTTAAACTTGATTTTCGTCTCTGCCATGTATCAAAAAATTTACTTTTGAATATCTCTACGCTAAAGTTGTCCTTTGCCTTGCTGTTTGACACACGTCCCTGAAAAGTTGCTAATAATGGAACATTTACCTTTTCTTTAGCTTCAGCATTGTCTCCACAAATGTAAACAGTCCGACTTCCTCCATAAATATCTTGTTCCAATGCCCATGCAGATATCACATTGAAGCCTTTCACAACGTGAGCCTTAGGTATTAGACTGGATAGGTACTCAGCATTTGATAATCCTCTGAAAGAGGTCTGCGTTTGATTGCTTACGTCGACAACAATCTTTCCTTTTAATAAAAATTAAGTACAATACCTTTGGATAGGTTAAATTTCTTTGAAGGAGAATTTGATTTAATTACTGGCAGGCTAAATTGCAGCAGGTGTCTATTCGTAAGATTTTTGATCGAAAGACTGTTAGTTACTATGACACTATTGACCAATACGTCTGAAAAATAATCAATAATTGCGAATCGATTATTCTGTACAATGTTCCAACCATTTTTTATGATCTTCATGCCAATCCTGAAAAACTGTGTTAAGATAATTTTTAAAAATTGAAGTCGATACAAACCATTTAGTTGGCTGCCCGATGATGCCACCAAGCTATCATATCCATGCATGGGAATAGCAAAAAAGATGATGCCAGAATGCTCTAAAGCATCATTTATGGATGCAATGTTGAACGATGACAGATGTGGCAATCTTCGACTTCTTTCAGGATTCCGGCTTCCCATAATGACGTCATAACCAGCCAAAGATAGTCGCTTCGTTAGTGCACGACTAAAGTCACCTGTACCCAACACCGTCAATTTTTCTTGTGGTCTGTTCTCTGCAGCAACCATGATTCTTGCCATCTCAATATGTTATTAGCAATTGGATTAATATTGTCTATGGTTAAAATATCAAAAATAAATAAACCGTTTTAATATGCTTCACAATAACACTACTGTAAAAATAATAAGATTACGAATTCAAACACGTAATAAAGTATTCTAAATTCAAAAATGTGCTAGTAACTACTACTTAGTACAGAAAAACTGAAAAAATGCACGCAACTGAAAAAGAAAACAAGAATTTTGAAATCTTGTAGATTTTACACGCAGTGGCATAACATTGCGTCATGCTCGTGCAGTTCTTTCATTGTAGATAGTTACTTTTTTCTACTGTGGTAAAAATTGTGTGATTTATTTCTTAGGTATTTAACGTATCAAATGTGTAAACAAGTCGACAATATCCATCAGTTACAAATCAGGGCAATTATTATGTAGCTTTAAGCAAACAATATTGTCGTCATTCGTGTCATTTTTAATCGTAACTGTCTCATGGCAATGAAATATCTATTTATAATACAGGATCCGGTCTTTCTTAAAAAATTGTACGTCTTGCAAACCTTCCTTGCACTGGAGATTATTGTTTAAGCTATTACGATATCAATGGCAGTTCTTGAAAGTTCATTAATAATGTTAAAATTTGACCAATGTGGGTTGAAAAGCAGATTATTTAGTGAAATTGAAAGTTGTTCACTCTCTATAATTTATTGAAATTCTCACATATTTTACTGATTTTAAATGTTTTTATGCTAATGTAAAGTATTTTTGTATTATAATATTTAAAATATTTTTTGTCAATTGCAAAGTAGGTATAACTTGCAACTTGAAAAAAATGGAAATATAATCATTTTATTGACCCCTAGTTATTTATGCGACGATATCAAAAGAGTCCAAATTTAAGAAACACTTTAGAAGTACACTGTTTTATTATATTACAGCAATGCTCAAGAACTAAGAAGATTATTCCTGACTCAAAGGACGATGTGAAGTAACTGTACGTGGAAATATTTTTTTGAAAAACATACAAAAGTTAAATAGATATTAGTAGAAAACATTTATGGTCCAATTTTTAGATGAGTAGAACTAATTTTAAAAATCATTAAAGTTTTAGGAAGTTAATAATTTTTTACGCATTGTATCGCTTACCTAAATACGTTGATATTGTCTTTCTTCCTTCAATAATTATGTGTAAATAACTTAGACTTTTAATATCACCTATACATTGTAAATTTGCAACGTTTTTGATTTAATTTGATTAATTTATCTGGTTACAAAGAGGCTTGACTGCAAATATACTAATGGTTCCATTACTCATGCGATTGTGACATTACCATTTCGAGAACATCTATGATCAGATCAATCTTTCCACTTATATATTTATTTATATGTATGGCTATGTATTTTGTTTTTATTGTTTTAACTCATAACTAACGAACAATTCAATCCTTTTAGACAGGCATTTTTATGCACAACAAGACTTACGTAGCTTGTAATACATTGCAAGGTAAACAACTGATTTAAATTTGACATGATTTGCGAAATCCTTACCTTTAAGATACTCATTAAACAACAGATACTTTAATAGTTTTGATAACTATTCTTTTAATCCCGATTCAAATTTTCGCTTGCAAAATATACAGTTTAATAACACGTACAAGCAGCTAAAACGTCTGGTGAATTTTGTAATGTTAATTATTATACTGCGTTGCAAACATATTTCTATCCTGCTGTGATGTCTTGTTAAGATTTCGCAATTGCTTGCGCTGGTTATTTCACAAGGTAAACAAATAATCTCTTATTTGCCAATTTTCCCCTAATTTGGATAGTATAATTTAACCGAGAAATAGATTCGGATTACCAGCTCAAAAAACTGTCAATCTTGTGGGTTATATGAAGTAGCATAACCAGCCTGCAAGTTTAGTCATGCTATTTAATCCCTAGCATGACTTTCATTTCGACTGCGTTTGTTTGAGGTAATTATATATTAAATACCACTAAATCATGCAAATTCTAAACGTGTTGATTTTAAATGTTGAAGTTTTTGCACCCTGTATTAATTTATAATCGAATAGGTCTGTAAATAGGGCGACTGTCAAATGCTTTACACGAGAGTGCATATTCTTGGGCAAGTACGTTACATCAGCAATGTTTGACGATTTTAACAAAGGATTTTTCTTATTTACAATGCAAATGTCATGGAATATAGCGAACATTCCATTGTTCTCTTATTCCTAGTGGAATGGTTGCACAGTACCCATACAAAGCCCATCATGGTTTTTATAAAGCCAAATGTCTTTTTTGACAAATTTTCCATTTGAAATCGATGTCTTGAGATTTTACCTAGCAATTGCATTTGAACACGCCGATTGAATTAGACAATGGCATGGTTGAGTACAGAAAGCAAAGGCCTTTATATAACTATCAAATTATCATATACGTGTTATGTCGTTCGATTACAAATTTCATAAAAAAATTGCTACCTTAAAATACAAGAGTCTAATCTTAACATAACATTCCGTGAAGCGTTGTGAAGGTATTATTGTTGAGCAAAATAACATATGTTATCGAATAAACGTTTGTAATTAGCTAGCATTATTAGGAGAATGAATGTTTTGTTCAATGACTGTTCATACTTCGAGATTAATATGAGAACTATATGTCTTATGTTGTTGGCAAATGGCAAATGCTCCTTTTAAATAATTCGATTTGACTATTTTGTGGTATTATGGAAAACATATATTGTTACCGCTTCGTGGGTAATGTGGTAGTAACTTAGGTTAGTCAATTTGTCGAAGTTTCAAGTAGAATAGCTACAAAACACCACGAACATATAGCATCGACTATTGTGAAATAATATGCCTACTTTATATTTAAGCTTATAGAATACCCAAGACAGAACGGCAAAAGGCTAGCAAAAATTCTAGAAAGTGTCGTGTTCATAAAAATCCTAAATAATGGTTCGAGGAATCGGCGCTTGTGTGCAGGACTAAAAACGAAGCAGAATTGTATGTTGAATCTCATGGTTGAATAAATTTATCCTCATTCTCCGATCGTGCTGAGAATCGCATCGTCGCTCTGACATCCGTCATAAAGATCAGTTAAACGCTTTTTTTGTAAAAAAAATAGATCAAGGCGTTACTGCTTATAAACGTTTTGTGTTATAAACAGTAACTATTGCGTTCAAACATTAAACTGAGTAACTAAGTTAAGTGTTACTTGGTACTTCTAACCGTGTTATACTGTCATACCAAATGTAATGATGACTTTCATATTACGCTTTGTAACTTACTCCTTCCCATCCAACGCGAATTTTTTAATCGTTTTGCCAAACATGGCATTAGAAGAATAATCTTTAAAATAACTATAACATATCCAATAAGAACGTCAAAGCAGTGGGATAAAAAGGGTACCGTACGTTCCATCTACGAAAACCTTTGTAAACATGAGTTGTGAAATAAAGTAGAGATAATATCAAAGAAAAGTAACCCAAACCAGATTGAACAAAATTTCACTATCTCCAACTCATGCGATTGAGGCAGTAGGAAGTCACGTGATACCCATAATAGACAAAGCTGACAGTCCAAGGACTCTAAGAGTCAAGGCTTTTTCATTGTGCAGTCATTCTGACATAAAGACGAGCTGTTACATTGCTCATTTGAATAAATTTATCTTGATAAACCCTAAAATTATATTCAGGACCCCAGTAAAATGTTGACATGCATTGCTGCCAGTAACAATGCCAGAAAACCAAGTTGTTTACCAGCTTTCATCCAAATGTCAAGCCAGTTAGAAAACGACGATATTTGGTATCTTCAAGGGAATCATTTGTGATATATGAAGACATTTCAACTTAAGAATAATCGATGGAAAATGTAAACTACTTAAATATGGTGCAATTATTTCAAATGTTTTATTAATATTGCAAATATAAAATTTTGATAAGGAAAATTACACAATATATATAAATTTGCAATGCGGTAAAAGCATGAAAACCTCAATAAAAATAAGAGCTCCTCCCTACATAATGTAAACATAAATTATTATCACTCATAATTTATAAATAATTCGTTACATTCCTTTTTTGTATGAATGCAGCATAGTCTAACAGACGTCATCACAGCCAGGCTTTTTAGGTTCTGACAGGATGCACCTATCAACCAACTTAGAAATAACATTCACAATTACTTTTAAAAAAACATAGTTTCATCGACAAATATTTTTTAATTTAATGCTTAAATTGAAGCCCATCAACAATACATTGAACTTTTAGTTTTTATCGATGAATTATAAGCTGTTATGTAGAGCAGATATGCATTGTGTATTACAAACGAATAAGCCAATTAAACTAAGTTAAGGGGTTTTATTTCTTTTATGGGCCAAACCAAAAAAATGAGTAATTTTTCTTTTTAACACCGATGACAAGAGTTGCGTTCAAAGGATTGCGTAGCAATAGATAGAGTTAATAAATGATAGTTAAATTTCGTAGATATTTTGAGATATTAGTTGAATGGTTGGATATAAATATATGGCAGTAGTTTAAAGAAATTTATTACTAGAATAAGAAAATTAAGTATTTGGTTATAAAACGTTTGTTATATTTAGCCTTATTTCACTGAATATGTCATGAAATGTTTTGGCATGGTAAACATGTCGACCACTAGTCCAGAAAAAGATCAACAGTCTCTATGGAGGATTAAATGATTTGTACTAAATTTCTATGCCAAAATACGTAATGTACGTATACCAAAAGATAACAACCTTTCTCCGTCACAACTACTCGTTGTTAATTAAAAAAGTAGTCATCGTCCATTTAAAAAATGTCATGTTTCTAGCATTTATGAGTGGCATAAATATGTTTACTCGTGCTTCATAGTGGCAGTCTCGTGATCCGTATTTGTACGAGATATTTCATAGAATTAAGAATATTATCTGAAAGTTTTTTGCTATGAAGTTATAGAATTGAACTATAAAAAAATATATAAATGTATCTTTATGTTTGTTATCATTGAAACAAAACCAATTCATAACGTGAGAAGATCTTCAATTCCAGTGACTAACTTTGTCAATTTACTTTGATTAACAGTTCACTCCATTTAAGATAAGGTTGCTCATGTCTTTCTGCTATGGTTAATTTATTTGCATTTTTAAGAAACAACATTATTTTTATGTTGTATTAAAGTAAGAAAGACAAGTGGTTTCGCCATTATATCAATATGAACAGCATCACAAAATGTTATAAGAACTAAGCTTACAGAAACTGGGTGTTGCCAGGTGTCAATATAAGAGCAGGCAAATATTCAATTAAGCATTTGCGTACAAGCAAAGTGTTCATTGAATGAAACGTTTTCTTGTATTTTATAGGTATATGATTTCAATTTCAGAAATAAATCTCTTCGTTCTTTGAGATCGTACAATATTTGAGTATGAACGATTTTGCTTAGCATATTTTTTACGCTCGTATTTCTTAAAATACTTTGATATTTTATATTTTTACTGAGATTACAAACAATTTCGTTCAAACGTATTTGTTTTTGAAATTGTTACATGAATCTGAATACAAAATCATACCTGATGTTTTAAAACAAGAAACACGTTTACAAAATAATAATTTTAAACAATCTTTGGATAAAATTTTTTGCTAGAATATAGTCGCGTTATTCTTTGTCATTTTATAATAATTGTAATATTAGTGCGATGTTCTGACGCTATATAAATCGCTGCGAATGTAGCTACGAGTTTAGTTGAGCACTGTAAGTTCTTCTTAAAAAAAGCGAATTTCATTCCACAACGGATTTTAGATTTTTAGATTATGTAAATGCAGATTTATGTATTAGGAGTTGCCGTAAATCAGCTGCAAAATAACTATATGGATCCTGGGAGATAGACCAGATTCAAAAGTCCAATAACAGTGAATGCATTAAATACACTGAAACTTCTTAGTGGAAAGTTAGTGAAGGGAATCTTTCTTATTATGTAAATCAATACGAAAGACAGCCACATAATCAAGTAAAGAATTCTAAAAATCATCATCGCTGCTCGCCAACTAGGAAACAATTCCAATGGCCTTTTTTAAATAACTCGGGCAACCTGTAGTGATCCATGGTCAAATGGGATAAGCTGCATTGTTCGAGATATTTGCAAACCTAAAGCAAAACGACACATAAATTTATGATAAATGATGGTATTATATTTCACGTGTAATATAAATAAATGAATAGGAATATGTAAATATTTTTCTGTTTATGTTCTCGAAAAACTACGAATAACGTTCCTAAACAAATACATAATAAATTAAAAAAATGGTAAACATCTATTAGAATAAAGTAATTAGCGTAGTGGATAATTTACCTTTTCTTTTGCTTCAGCATGATCTCCACATTTGAAAACAGTTCGACTTCCTCTCTAAATATATTGTTCCAATGCCCACGCAGATATCGCAATGAAGCCTTTTACAACGTGAGCTTTCGGTATTAGACTTGAAAAGTACTCAGCATTTAATAATCCTTTGAAAGAGGTCTGGGTTTAATTTCTTACATGAACAAACAGTTTTACCTAAAAAAGGAAATAGGCTTATATTAAAGAACACTTTCCAAATTTAAGTCTTATGTTTAAGCTCCTTACATCAAAGGTACGTCTGAGACTATCTCGCGTATCTTACAACCATACAATATACGTGTCACAAATAAACCAATCCAATCGTTACGACAAGTACTAACGAACATAAAGGACAAAGAACAACCCAACGAACGACAAGGTGCAGTTTACAAAATAAACTGCTCCGACTGCCACGCCTCCTTTATCGGGGAAACTGGCAGGAACTTGAACTTAAGACTTACTGAACACAAACAAGCTACAAAGAAACATGACAAAACTAATCACATTGCCGAATATCACCGAATCATAAAGCACAATATTGACTGCGACTCGGCAAAATGCATTACTTACAGTACTGACCATAGACAACGACTTACATTCGAAAGTTGGTATACCAACTTAGAACAAACCCCCCTGAACATATAACAGAAATTACCGCCACCTTACAAACGATTTATTCACAATACAAACAAACAATCAACTAAAAACATCACACTTCACACTAATTCACAATGACAATACACAATTTGACATCCACATATTACAACTAAAAACATCACACCTAAATCACACATCACAACTAAAAACATCACACTTCACACTAATTCACAATAACAATACACAATTGAAACCCACACATTTCCTGTATACACAATACAATGACTCAAGAACAAGATAACAAATTCTACTAACCTAACGTTTACTCCTCATTTGACTCTGAAGATGACTAACGCTAAGTTTGTTGAAACGTCAGTCAAAAATCACAAAAACAGTCCTTCTCAGGAGTATACCAACCTGGACGATCTACATTTACAAACATGTAACGATACTCCCTGGTTCGATTCATTCACTTGAAAAAACAAGATATTACACTAGATCAAATTCTCGAACCAAATGTTTAGATTTAAGTTGTTAAGCTAGGGTAGTCATCCAAAACAGAAGTGGTCAGGTATGTGTCACCCAACTTTCTATCGTGCTATCCTCTTTTTCCAAATATACTAACTCTGTTTTTATAAGGTGCGGAATCCCCTTCTTCTTCCCGCCACGGTTCCTCAAATTTTTCCATCGACTTGGTTTCTTTTTTATTTTTTAAAGTTCGAAAAGAAAAACTTACATTTTAAGCAAAATTCATAATGTAAGGTTTATCACTTGAGTTGGTTCGAATGCTAAGAGACGATAGATTTGAAAGAAACATAAAAAGTTTCCTTTCAAATTTAACACATAGCCCCTGTTTTTCCCATAAAATGAAACTTTGGCACTGTTTGTAGTATTATTGTGATTAATTCAAGTCGTTTAATTTTTTTCGAGCTGATGGCAAAAATCAAATTTTGAGTGGATCACGTCAGTGGCAGCTAGAAGCTTGAAACATGTAATTTATGACGTAACTCCTGAAATTATTTCGCCTTCAATAGTTTTGCGTTTAATCGGAAACAAATTGTTTTTCGGAAAGTGAACAGTTCTCTAGTTATAAATTTACAAATAAAATGTGCATAAGCAACAAGCGAATAAAAATAAAGATACGACGAAGGACATCAGATGACATTGTCAAAGCAAATTAAAACGCTTCTTTATACCACTGGAAAAGCGAAAGTGTTTTAAATAGAATTTATGCTGTGTTAACTATAAATCATAACAAAAAGAAATAACGTTTAATCTCATGTAAAACATAAGGTTTCATAAAATCTTAAGAAAAGTATGTAGGGCAAGAATTCTTTTAAAAACTATTAACAACCTAGGGCTTTTTGTTAAGTATAAAGTTATTAGTTTATTTAATTATTACTTTCTTTCTATAAAATTTATAATCAATGAAAGAATGTGCTGTACAATTGGATGGCATGTGTTGTGTTATTGGTTTTTAGTTGTTGCATAACTGGTTTGTATGTGTGG